TTTAAAATTACCAACTCGTGTCCGAATGCCTGCTTAAGAATAGGAAATTCTTCAAGAATTGCGCTAAGTGTAGCAGTCGTCGACAGAAAACTTTGACGCCACTCAAATGTAAGATCCCACTTTTCATCAACTTCTCTTCGTGGTTCTATATTGAACATAAGCCACTGTTTACAGGTAATCACCTTATCGTCGTTAAGATCAGTTGGATTCGGGCAAGTGTTTTCGTCGTTTGAAGTTCCGCTTAATTGAACAGCAGACTGTTTCTTTGCCTTCGCTTTAAGGTTGTAGATCTTACTGTATAAAAGGCCTCCTGGTTTCTTGCCGAAATTTTTAATAAAATATGTTTCCTATCAAAAAATTTAAAATTAATTATGGTTTTAAGTAAAGAGACAGTAACTGTTATGACTATTATTTTAAAAGTTAGTTAAAATTAGTTTATTTTAAAGTAACTGTTATTCTTTGAGTTTTATATTTCTTGTGATCAAAAATAAAACTCAAACTTGATTTATGGCGATTTTGTTAAAAATGTTAGAGTATTATAAAGGTATAATTATTATTATAATTGTTATAATAGTATAGTGGTTAAAAATGAATTTATGTATTTAAATAAATACTTGAAATACCTTAATTTCAGATTCGAAAAGCTCTTGAATTTCATCAGCGATTTGATTTAACACAATTTGATTGGTCTGAATATTGTTGTAAACAAAATGTTCAGCAATAATTCCACTTAATACCTTCCTAAATTCGTTGGTTAGTCGACCAGTTTCTTTGAAGTAATTTATTACTGCTGCAGCTTGATTACTGTTTGCCAAAATAGTTGCTAAATCAATCTGTTATATATACATATAATATTATAATTACTCAAATGGCAAAATAGTCAAGTAATCAACAAGTCAAATTTACCTCACTGCCATTAATGCCGGGTGCTTTGCCCTGATCGGAGAGGTAATTATTCTGTTTTAAACAAAATGTAATAATTTATTATAAGCCAAATAGAAAAACTGAGACTTTTTATAGTAAGGGGCTGTCCATATATTACGTAATCACAATTTCGGCGACTTTTGACCCCCCCCCATGTATACAATTCTTCATACAAAAAAAAATAATTTGCACTAGAGTAATCATTTGGTGGACCCCCCCCCCTAGATGATTACGTAATATATGGACAGCCCCTAAATCACGCCATGTTGCACTTCGCCGCATTTCACACACATGTACCTGTATGTAGGTTCATACATATGCATACATATTTACTCACATGGCGTTTCCAATTTTGCAGCTCATTAAAAAAAACTACCGCTTGCCCTACTAATTCCTTCGAAATTTCCATCCTGAATTGCTCCCAGCTTAACGATTTTAAGCTTTCTTCGCCAAATTTCAGATCTAGCATGCGTTTTTAATAGACACTAAGTGTGTATTTTAGGTTAAATTTAAATACTTACCCGAGAATATAGAAGCAAACGCTTCTCCTTTTAAACTTTTCAGCAAAATATCCATTTATTATTTTTGCCAAAATTCACTTGAGATTTACTGATTAGTAACACTTTAATAGAACACTTTTAAGTAACACATGCGGCCGCCAAGTTTCATGAGTATTAGAGATGGTCGACGCGGCGTTCGCAACGATACTTGCTATCGTAGGTTAGGGGTAGCAATATCGATATTTTTCTTCCTCACGTTTGGCCTTCCACATAAATCGCGTGCGAATAATAACAATGAAATAAATGCAACATTAAGCATATCGTAAGCAAAATTTATAAATACCTGATAGTCCCATTCATCTGTAATCATTAAACGTTATATTCTTATACCTAAATTAAAATATTGTCGAATTGGGCAAAGTATCGTGGGTCCTATCGATACGATACGATAAGATACCCCCGCCCCTAGCGTTTCGAAGTTTTATGCACACTCACACATAAATACATGCAATGACACAAATACATACAGCGCAATATTGCGCCAGTGTCTGCAAAAGACCCGATGACTTGTTTACACACAACAATTTTATAATATTGTAATATTGTACCATTTCAATGAATTTAGCTTAATTAGTTTTGTATGTACATACGTATGTACATAGTACATATGTACATAGTTTGAAAGTACATTTACTATATATAATAATAATACAATAATAACAGAATACAATTTCCAATATAATTGTGGTAAAATCTAATTAACTCACGCAACACGTCACGTTAATATTAAAAATTAACACGTGTTCCTGTAAATTAGAAAGTATTTCTATTTTTTAGAAATCGGTTATATTTTTTAGAAACATTTTCTATTCTTGAAAGAAATTTTTCTATATTTTAGGGTAGGAAGCATTTTAGGGTTAGGGTATTCAATTTTAGAAAAGGTGTTGTCAAATTATTTTCATTCTTTTGTTTGCCTTTTCTATTTTTCAGAAAATAATTTCTAATTTTAAGGGTATTTTTCCTAGATTTTAGGGTGATCTTAGTTCATGGTAACCATTTTCTACATTTTAGAAAAACTTCCTGGATTTAAGGAAAACTTTCTTGACTTAAGAAAAATTTCCTTAGATTTAGAAATAACTTTCTTGTATTTAGAAAAAAGAAATTTTTAGGGCGATTTTCTAAAATTTAGGGTTAAATTTATTTTGAGTGTACTTTTTTAACGTTTGTTTGATATTGCAGTCTTATGGTTTGTTATTCAACTGTCGTTTAATTAAATATTAACTTATTCTTTCCAAAATTTTAACATTTAATATATTTTTTAATTACCAGGAATTAAGACTTTGAAGCCAGCCAATTGTCAATTTCCTCTTTTGTAATTAACGTTGTAAGCAAATTGTCTCAGATAAAATAGAGTTCTCTGGGCTGCGATTTTTTTGGAGTTGCTAGGGGGACGGGTGCCCACCTATAATTAAGATTCATTATTTAGTCAAGCAAGCGAAACTGTTTTCAGCCGCAATTTACCATAATCATTGTCAGTGACTGAGACGCATACGAGAATTGTTCAAGCAAACAAGATTTGGCTGACGGAAATGCTAAAACGTGACGAGATCAGATTAAATATAATTTGGAAGGGTAGAAAACTTTCCGGCAATTCATCAACTTAATTATTGAATTTATTCTATATGATTTACAACCTTTTCCTTTTAATTAGTTCCCTTAAATCGCTTTCAGCATAATGACCAACATAAGTTCTTAGTAAACTAACTACTTTTAATCGATTTCCTAGAGCAGGCTTCAATTATTTTCTAATTTGTTTGCAGCCAACAACCGAATTCATCAATAAATCGGAAAAAATCTAACTAATCATCGAAATTGTATGTACACCCCAAGGGAAACTCAGGCGTCATTGTTCAATTTTCTTGGGCTTGCATATCTACTAACTTAGAACAATCAATCTATTGGAGGGTTGTCTCCACCTTTCTCAACAAGGTTCTGTATTATCATCCCCCTATTTTATCGAAGGAGGCGTAGTTTATTGGATTTACTTGCCTGAAGTGACACTTTTCATGTTCAATGAACTTTCTCAACTCATTTTTCATGTCCAAGTTCTATATTGTCTGTTGGATTTGTCGTTTTATTTAAGTTAGAGGAAAAGTTTTGGGTTTATGAGTGACTGGTACAATAAATAGCTTTTCAATAGGTTTTTTGGATTGGGTACAAGTGATTAGCCAATTACATGTCTGGCCATTGAACTTGTCTTGGTTTCGGACAACAATTGGACTTAGAAAAAAATTGTTTTATAATTGTATGAAATTTACTGCGAGCAACAACCAATATTTATTTTTGGTATTTACTATATTTGCATTGTATTTTTACACGAAATTCAACAGACGAAACTTCTGTTGTCAATTAATTTCAATAAAATAAACATTTTTGTGAACCTAAGTTTCAGACACCCGACATTAAGTTTCACTAAACTTCAAAATCGACCTTGTAATACTTTAAAACAAAATAAAATACTTATGTGTGGCTCCATTCTTTTTCGGTTATAAAGTGCATCGAATAAAACGTTTTCATTTGATTCGCACAACAAATCGTAAAAAAATTCAGTTGTTGACGACTAAAACCAAACGCAAAACTAATATTATTGAATTTGAACGCACTCACTCAACCGCAGAGGCAATAAAAGACAAAACCTCAAAATACCCACACTTTCCGACTTCAGTTGAAAAAAGTATAAAGTACTCGGAAAATTTTTTGGTGGCAAAGCCAAAACTCCCCAGCAAAAAGTTCCCCTCAACTGAATACATTTCCTTATCAGAGAGTTGCACTTGATTAGACGGGCGACACTGATGGCCAAATCGAAGTGAATATTGCATTGGATAAGTCTGAGGGGAAAAAGTGACGATGACGACTGAAACGGCGACGGTGGCTGCCATTAGGCGTCAAATGGTCCGGCAAAACGCATCGACTGCAGCGCACAGTGGTTCAAACTGTATAAATTTTACACAAACCAACAAAATATAAAACTATAAAAATTTAATTTTTAAATTTAGTCTAATGTACAAAATAATAATCCATTATTATCTATATATTGTTGGATCGCTCCACGCGTCTTTCCTATAGTACGAACCTTTTATATTTTTATTAGTATTGATATATTGAATTTACAACTAATTACTTGGTAAATATCTATGCAGAACTTTAAAAAAAATGTATATTACTCCACTGTGCTGCCTCGCAAAAACTGCAAGTGTTTGCGGGCACCATTAAAAAAGTGCAGCCATATCGCGGAGCAGTAAACTCGTAAACCCGACCTAGCGTCGCTCCACTCAACACCACTCCACTCAACCCAATCCGAATCCGAAGAGCAGAAATAACCTCCCTTGGACCCCCAAATAATATTCTTCTCGTTGAAAGCGGCACTCTTTCAATCGCTGGCCTGGCTTTCAGTCTTTCGGTCTTTCAATCGACCGCCTTCAACGATCTCTCTCATGGCGATTCGTGTGCGTTGGGGTTGGGTTCGTTTTGTTATTGGTTCAACTGTCGCGTAGTATTCAGTGTTCAGTGTTCAGTTCTCAGCTTCAGTTCGTTTCAGTTTCAGTGCGCAGTCAGTTTGTCAACGGGTCGGATGCGTGTTCGGAAAATCGCGCAAAACGAATATACTTTGGAATATAATAAGCCAAAATAAATACAAATAAAAAACGTTTTAAAGTGCAGTGCCTGTGCAGTGAAATATCTAACATTTTCCACGGAGGAATAAAAAAGAAAAACGAAAAATCATGGCATCCTACGGTTCAACAGGCTGCCTCTTGCTCGGCCTTTTATCCCTGCTGATGTTTTTCAATACAGGTGGGTTACCAGAACTCCATTCGTGCACCTGCACTGACTCCGCATGAAATGGCAGCTAATTAAGTGGAGAAGGAGCTTTGCTCGATGGCTGGGAGTTACTTAAGTGCGTGGGCGTGATTTCCCATTTAAATGTGCAACAAAACGAGCTTGAGTTCACTGAACCAAATCAAAAGGGTTCGCTTGTGCGGAAAATAGGGGGAAAACTCAGGCAGATTAAAGTATTTGGATGCAGCTGAAAGCTTGGGAAACTTTTAAGAAATATATAACTTTAAAGATGTTGCGAATTTTTAGGAAGGCTAAGGTTTTTTTGTGAAATAGCTAGTATCAACATTTTGCCTATTTACAACATCAATTTAATATGTTTTAAATTTTTTTCATTGCTAATTTCATATATTTAATATTGTATTGAATTGTAAGAAATATAATCGATTGTTTTTAATGCCTGACCTCATTGATAAGTCTTCTGAATGCATGGCCATCTGTCTGCACTGCGTGAACATTATTCGCATTATCAGTGCAATTGTCTGGACAGATGAACTCCACTTGAAATACCTGCAACTTAAGAGAGAAAAGAGAGAATACAATGAAAGCTTAAATTTCCATGATTTATTATTATTCCTGCACTTGTTCGATATTTTTCCGCTGCTCATTGGTGTTTATTTTTACTTGAAAAGCACGACGTTCGAGCGTAATGAGAACAAAAATATTATCTCAACCTTAAATATTCAGAGAAAATAAATTTCATAAATAGCCAAGAAAAGTGTCTGAGAAAAATGTGGAGAAATGAAAAATGCTCCTGTTTTCTTATTTCTGGAAAATTCTTCATTACGCAAAAAGGGGTGTAACAAGATTTTTTATTGGTGGTCTCAGCAATTACTCAAAGTTGCCTCAAAATTTCAATGAAAAAGCGTGCCGCATATCTGGTCATGTCATCAACTAAAAGTTTATTTGTGTTTATGTTGCGTGGGCGTGGCAAATGACAACTTTGAGTGGCACAAACCGAACTGACCACTCAGGCCCACCTCAATAAAAGTGACTAATCTCAGATTGACTAGAACGATATGGAAATAATGAAAATTAAGGGTATGGCCAGAGTTAACACATTACCGAGAACATGTAATTATTTCAGTATTGTAAACAGCTCATCTCCTCGTCAGATACTCCATGAGGCATATCCAGCCTTAACCTTCGCGTAATCTTAAATGTCAGTCCCCATCTCTGTCGGTAGATCGTCTTAATTAATAATCCGCTGCTGTTGTCGTCGCTTGGACCAAGCCTAATTAAATCCATTCAGTTGCTTACTAATTCACTGCAATTTACTTGGATATAGAACGCAGTTTTCTCGAATATAAAAGTTCCTAGAAAAACATAAAATTCTGTTAGTGCTTCAGACAAAAGATTATGACTCTTCATTATTTTTTCAATAAAATCAAGGTTTAATATGTAGATAAAAAACAGGACGTTGCACAATTGTGAATAATAAAACTAAGTCAACAAATTTGTATATATAATCCAAGTCCCTTGCACATTTATGAGTCATCCGAATATAAACATTTTATTGTCCCTGCAGTTCAAAGGCATATCTGTTTTTAAGTACATTGTATTGGGCATTAAATTTATTAGGTGCAGGAACCCCTATAAGACCATTGCACGCAGACATTTTTTGAATGTGCCTAAAGATCTATTTTTTAATAGCCCTTTCAGTTTGCTTACTTGGTATATTACAAGGCTTTAGCCCAAGCACTCCAATTGCCCATCCCTTTGCATTGTTTGCATACCTATCTGGCTAATTATTTAGGCATTCGGCACAAATACGCTGCAATTTTGATAAACGTTCGACGAGCTATGCATTTGGCATTTTTGCAGTTGAACGAACCCCGATTGCATGTCAGTCAAAGGCATAGCAAAACTTTCTATCGAAGCGCCAACCAAACCTCTATTACTTTTTTGGGGTCACAAAGTTGGAACCACCCTACGATGGGAGCTCCATACACTCGTAAGTTTCCGAGTTTAATGCGTTGCGATATGGGCGACACTTTGTGGGAGTTTTTAGGGGAAAATGTGGAAGCGGTAATCAACACGTTTCTTTTGGGGGCAAAGTCGTAGGGTTGGCGGACTTATGTGCTATAGATGTTCGGGGGCAGATCTGAAATGTTGCAAGTCCAACTTGCAGTTGGCCTCAAGTTTGGAGCTTAATGGAAAAATTGCATGTGAACCCCAAAGTCTGTGAGTGGGAAACTTTTTGCCCCCTTTGTTGAAGACTCGTACTTACGATATACTGCAATTCCATAAGCCTACATGGCAGCGAAGGGCAACGAACTCGGTTTTTTGTATAGACGTGGCATGGATTATAGGGGGCAGTAATAATATAAAGAAGGGGTGCTCTTAATAGGTTTCTTTTAGGGGTGCAATAAGGTAAGGCTATTTAATTTTAAGTTGAGATAGGAATATGTAAGATGTCTAAATAAACAGGAAATAAATACTAAATAGAATGATTAGTAATTTAGTTTAAGGTATATTTTTATATGCCATTTCATTGGGAATAAGTTATGAAATGTTGCGGGGTTTTAAATTAAACACTTGGTTTAGACCAGACTTTTTCCCTTTAACCCGCTCACTTTGGCAGCGATGATTAAAGCCAAATTCCGATTGCCAAAAGAATCGGCGAAAACATCTCGTCCAACAAATACTTACGCACTTTGCGGCCACCATTCGGGCCCAAATTCGATTCCGATTCGAATTCGGATTCGGACTCGGACTCGTATGTTTCTGACCATGTTTGGGGGGCAGTTGCGGCTGCCACATCGGTTGGCATAATGCAACCACAGCCACTGACAGGCACAATATCAATTTTCGGTTTCCATGGAATTACAGTCATTACCATTAGTAAACTGTCACCGACTTGGAGCGGACGCGCAAATAAACAATTCTGCAAACGATCTGACAATTCAACTGTCAATTAATTTCAATATATTGTAAATGATTATAATTTCCATCTCGGTTACGCCGTTTTTCGCCGTTTCTCGCGGCAGTTTTTCGGTTCTCAATCGCATTGAATGGCCAACTGCCAATGCGAATGCGAATCGAACGCAAATTGCAATGTTTATGCTGGTTGTTTATGGCCAAATGCGGTCGCTGGCCGAAAAAAACACGTTTTCGGCCAATGCGTTGGCACACTTCTCCGGCCTTTCCACTTTTCCCTCTCCCCGTTCCCCTCTCCAGCCTTTCGACTTATCTAGGCTTTCGTTTAAACGCACCTCAAAGTGTTGGCTAAGTGCATTTAACCCGAACGTTAACGTTTGACGTTTAAATTGGCCAGAGAAACGAGTTTTATGGCCGCCATCACAGCCGCAGTCATCATCATCACTCAAACATTCTCGGAACCACACGCAGAAAGAATATCACTAAAAAACTTACAAGTTTTCAGATCCAAAAGTAGTCCTTAAATATAAAATTGCACTTTAACCAAGTAGCTCAAAATTTTTAAATTCGAATTCGTATTTCGTAGTACAAATCCCACGCAATGATAACCCTCTTAACATTTTTTAAAATCTTTTAGGCCTTGGATAAACTGGTTGGCTTTCTTCCCCTTTTCTTTGTTGTAAAATTGATTGATATTTGATGATATCCATCATCAGATTATTTTCCCGGTGCAGCCAACAATCGTTGGCGCAATTTAATCAAATAATTATTTACACACTAGTCGCAGTGGCTAATCGCACGCATAAACCAGCCGCAGTCGAACTTTTTGACACTTTTATAAGGCAGTTGCCCCATAGCCTGTCGCATAAATAACTCGACCAAAAGGCTCCCGACTAAAATTAGTGGCGGTTCGGCAGTATTTCAAAGATCTCCGCCAACGGCATTAAACGCAGCAGGAAATTGCGGCTTAGTGGCTATTCCAGTTGATTATAATGGGATGCGATTCATTAGACGAACGGTTATGGTTTCGGAAAGCAAAAATTAGTTAGTTACTTTATTATGATTTCAATTGTGGTCCTGGCAACAGAGAAGATCAGCTGTGATGGACTTTTAAAAATAGTTTAAACTAAAAAAAAAACCATTAAAAAATGTAAGAATAATTTTTAAGCATTCAATGTTATGAAAAACTGAAGGGAACGTATTTTTGTTTATAACTCGTATATTTTTATAAGACATTAATAAGCACTAAGCATAGCACTAAAAATTGCTGTAAAATTGAAATTTTTTGTAAAGATGTTACACCGAATTTCATTAGGCATATTTCTTAATTGAGAATGCCATTTGTAAACACTACTTATAAGGCACGTAATTAAAGATTATCTGAATTGCAAATGCCTTTATTAATTGAAATTAATTACCCATTTCAGCCTCCGCGGTGCTGCGATGCTGGCGTTGTTCAACGGACGTCTCTAACGGCGAGTTCTGCAACGATCCCTTTATGCCGGAGACGATTTCGGAGCAACAGCGCTACTGGAGCTACGTGAACTGTACCTATTCGGTGGGCGCGAAATCGGTGAATGCCCGACCTGTCTGCAAAAAACTCGTGCAGGAAGGTGAGATCGAACCCCCTCTGTAGAGCCAACCTGCTCCACTCAGTGTCAGTGCACCTCTAAAAGAAAAACCACAGGCATGAATAATTGGGCACCCGTTGCATTGGCATTGTTGTGACCGCGTGTGCGGTCTTTGGACAGGCTACACTTAGAAAAAAGATCCCAAGTAGTTCCATTGACCACCTTAAGGTTTAAAGAGAAACTAGAAACTTAAATTACTAAATAGAAAAAAACAGCACAAACATCCAAAAAAAAATTTTAGATTGCAAAACATTGAAAAATAATTGCTCAAAATATGTTAAAAATTATGACAAACAAGAGGGAACGTTATAGTCGGATGCCCCGACTATCAGATACCCGTTACTCAGGTAAAGGGAGTGCGAGGGAGATGGAGATAGAGATAGAAAACGTTGATCACGCATAACTTTTTAACGAATGGTCCGATTTGAAAAATTTCTTCTACATTTCGATAGGTATTGATAAACACAATAAAACTGCATTTTTACTTTTCCAAAATATTAAAATTTTTAAAATCGTATATAAGCGATGGTGGGCGTTAGAGGGGGCGTGGCACCATTTTGAAACAAACTTGCGCTGCGTAGGAATTCCTAGAATCTGCATGCAAAATGCCAATCTTCTAGCTTCTATAGTTTCCGAGATCTCAGCGTTCATACGGACAGACGGACAGACAGACAGACAGACAGACGGACAGACGGACAGACGGACATGGCTAGATCGACTCGGCTAGTGATCCTGATCAAGAATATATATACTTTATGGGGTCGGAAACGCTTCCTTCTACCTGTTACATACTTTTGCACGAATACAATATACCCTTTTACTCTACGAGTAACGGGTATAAAAACCCAAAAAAAATAAAATAAAAATACATTGAATAGTTAAAACTATTTACTAAGTTGAAGAAAAAAAGTAAAGCTTTCTAATTTATTGTTTTTAGGGCTCTTAAAGTGTTTATATATTTTTTCAACGATAGAATTATTTCAATAACACTAAATAATTATTAAGATATCAACAACAATTTTTTCCAGACTGTATTGATGGTGGAAAGGGAGGGGATCGATAGATAGACGCGACTCACACCCGGCTGTGGCCGAGAGTCAAACAAGATTGAAATTTATTGCCCTGACAAAGTCCAAACAAGTGCAGGCGAAACAACAACAAAAAACACGGCCAGCGGACAATTGCCAATGGAACGACTTGGATCTGCAACTGCAGCTGGGCGTTCGAAGGGGGCGTGGCAGGTAGTGTCCGGGCGGGGCAAAAGCAACAAGAACAACAACAAGTGGCGACATTTTGGCCCGCAGTTGCAGTTGCATGTGCCGCTAATTTACGGCAAATTTATGTGGAGAAAGAGCCGGCACACGGGGCGTATGAGTGATATTTCGTGGTGGGTTTCGGCGATCTTAAGTCCGATTTTACTGCGCTGTTCGCCTGGTTTTATTGCTAGTTTTATTGTTGTCTGTGGCCAAAGCAATTTGTTCATTTGCATATGACAAGAAAAGCAGACCAAAACAAAGCAAAAAAGCATTAAATTTACCAAGCGATCCGTGTCGTTACTTTTTGATCTAAATTCACTTTGCATTGTTGGCCACCGCATAAATTTGCCAGCCGGCAGACGAGTCGGATTGGAATTTTAAATGTGGGTCAACCAGGCAAACAATGAAATACACAATCTGTTGACTATAAATTATGTAATTGCATTTGGAAAACCCTTATTGCACGCTCTATAAAAAAGCATAATTCATCTAAACCGTATCAATAAACTGCATATACTTTAATATACAAATTTAAGCCATAAAACAAACTATTTATAAAGGGTTAAACAAGTCAAAAAGGTGTGTCAGTAAATCAAATTATAATTGCTAAAAGTTAAATTGTCATACATGAATTCATTGCAATTTAAAGCCCATCAAAAGCTGCGGCTTGGATTTCTTGAGTCGCATTTAAGCAATTTCTTATTGCCAATTAATGAACACCATTAAATTTTTGCAATCATGCGTCTACAAATTGGTCCGGCGAATATTTGCAAGATTTGCGCTTGGCAGTTGGCAATTAAAATTGCAATTGCAGACTCTCAACCGCCGCTGTATCTGTATCTCTGACTGAGTTTTGGTCCCAGAGCAACATGAGCAGCGCTTGTAATGCGCAAAATACATAATATACGGGCCGAGCGGGCTAAGGAAAAAATACACAAAATACATATAAATTAATTAAGTTGTTGCACAGCGTGAAGCGCTCAATTACGAGTCCAAGATGAGGGGGAAAATCGGGGGCAGGGGCCATGGCGGTAGAATGTGTCTGAGAAAAATGCAACTAGGCGATGCAACTTGTTGCTGACATCTGAGTTTTTTATTTGCCGTTAAATTAATTGCTTTTGAAGTTTAGCTTAGACGAGTGGCTAACTTTTTGGCAAATGTCAAATTAAAAATGTATTCCATAATGCCAAAATATGAAGCCAAGCAATTAGCCGCAGGCTGCTGATTTTAGTCTGTGACTGCAAGTATTTTGCAACCTGTTGCTGCGGCTCCCCAGCTTCCAAAAAGTTGCAATTCGGCCCAGGACCATTTTTGGCGGCTAACAGCTTATTTCTTGCTCTTTTCTCCGGGGATTCGGCGAACCAAAAGGGAGGCATATATAAAGTCAATTTTTGATTTATATGTTTGGCTTACAAGTTAACTACTTTTGGAGAGATTTTTTTGGTTCAATCCACTTTAACTGTTTTGAAGTAAGAAATCTTTATTTAGTTTCCCCATTTAATTATTTTCCTATTTTAAGCTGGGCTGTTTTTATTAAATTCTCGTTTTTTAATTTTAAAGTAAAGTAAAAAAAAAATGTCAAGTTTTTTTTAGAACTTACAAAGATTGAAATATGAGTCTTTTAAATTCTCTCTTTTTTAATATGAAAGTAAAATTATTGGGAAATGCCAAGTTTTTATAAACTTTGCAAAGATTGAAATATGAGTCTTTTAAATTGTCTCTTTTTTGAATTTTAAAGTAAAATCAATTGGAAATGTCAAACTCATAAAAACTTTACAAAGATTGCTTAACAGAACAAACAATAAAGTTAATAACTTCATACCTCTCTTTATTTGTCCACAAATAACGCTTTAAAAAAAGAAATATTTTGCAAAAAATAACATAAATATAAATTAAATAACAACATGAGCTTTTTTATATATTTTTTTTTTGGTTTGATTTTCTATGTTTGCTGCAGCAATTTTTTGATTAAACACACATAACTAGCCATAAATAATTAAATTAATTAAAATTTAAATTTATTGCTGCGTGTGTGCGGTAGACAATGTCCAAGCGGCATTTTTGGCCGGGTTGCTCTGGCGAGCGGAGCACGCGGCGTATGCGCAATGTGGCACACACGGCGGCCGCTGCATTCTGATGGCGGTTCTGAGCCTTGTTTGATGCGACGGCCGTGATAAGGCGACAATTGTCAACAATTTTATTAGCCCGACGGTGGCCCACTGTCCAGCGTCTGAGCCAATCACAAAAATGGCCAGCTTTGACCATTTAGAGCGGCCTTTAAAGTTCGCTTTTGCGTTTTCCATTGGAAATGTTTTTACTAGTTTGTCGTTTTGTTCTATTTGCTGCGCACACACACAACATGCAATTTGTTGTGGACTTTTTGTGCGATTTGCTCTTTCTGGTTTTCATTTGCCGTCTGATTGCAAATTGTCTCTAGTTTCGTCGAGTTTCAGGTACGAGTTGGCAAATCGTGTGCGTTTCTCAGGCGTTTCCCGCACTCAAATATCTGGAAACCTTGAACCCGATGCAGGTCGTCAGAGTTCAGGAAAAACCCCTTTAATTACTTTTTTTTAAACGGAAAAAGTTGAAACAGATTAGCTATTAAATAAATGTATTTTAAGTATACCCAAAAAAAATTGATGTAAAACTTTGATTAATTTGATATGCTAGAAATGTAAACAACAGGCCAGTTCCAATCTATCTCCCACCCATTTATGTAATATTAAGCGTCCTATTCCGAATTATAATTATCTCTTATAAGAGATAATTAGTTCTTCTTGCTCCCATTACCGTTCTTTCAGTCGCCATATTGCTTTTTTCTAGTATAAATGCCAGAAATTTACCATGCGCATATCGATTTGATCCCCTCGTGTGTTTTTCGTGTGTTAAAAAAATGTTTATTTTCTCCTTTAGTATTTCCTTTTCTTGGGTAATTCTTTCGAATTGGCTGCTGCAGGCAGTGCCTCAGTCACTTACTCAAAAAGCATGACCACATCGCAGTTTTTTATTTTGCCTAGCGGCAATCTCAAATGTCAGTTCTGAGATTTTTTCATGGCTCGAACAGGCAGCCCACGCCGGCACGTACGCACACATAAATTAAATTTAATGCGCACTCACAGAGCAGACATTAATTAAAATGGTTAGATGAAAATATTTAAACGCTGCTGCTCTCCTTTTTTTCAGTTTACGGCAAGCGGGTGATTTCGCGTTCCTGCTTTTATGAGGATATGGACGATTCGGCGGACAAGTGCGCCAATGACCAGACCTCGTCCTACATAAAGACCGTCTACTGCCGCACCTGCACCACCGACGGCTGCAACGGAGGCAGTGGCTCCACCCCGCTCGTCCTGCTCCTGATGCTGCCACTCCTGCTGGCCTCCTTCAGGCACTTGCCGCTATGCAAATGAGCCAACGGATCCGGCCCGAGCTTAATTGCGGGACTGCGAGCCGAAGTTAAAGCTGGCCGGGAATTTCGGTGCTTAGCCCGGTCTTAACTGAATTTCTTCATCGAGTTTTTAGTCACTTTGCCCTCACGAATCTGCACAAATCACAGGAGAACCGGATGCCGTCGGCTGGGGAACTCTCCGTCCTGGCCATCGGGGTCACCCATTCGACATTGTCCGTGTAAATGTTTCTTGGTCACCTCACCCACGAAAATCAAACAGTTACTCGTAGTCACAGCTCTACACCCGTCATATAACACTCGATCACACTTAACTTTGCTGTAATTTGTACATCTTTGTAATATCTTTATTATTGTACTTGTAATTGAAAGGTCGGAGCCTTCGGGTGCCGTCCTACGTAAATAAATAAATCGTAATTAGATGGTATGCGAGAAATGGATTTATTGGGGTTTTAACGGGTCCGATAAACCTCACTATCCTCACTACTACCCTTACTACTACTACTTTAAGTATAGCGCAATATCCAAAGCAAAAAGAAGATTTAAATTATAGATATAAAATTACAAACTTCAAGTAAATTCAGGTTTGCTTTACACTAAGCACACTTGGCTTTGGAACACGTGACACACCCCTTCTTTCTGACATCCAAAATGATGCTGCCCCAAAAAGAGGAATCCACTTCTAGCCGTGCGATGTCCAAGGATACGACCAATCCTGAGAGTTCTTTGCCTCTGTGGAGTCGCCTTTTGGACCACAATGCGGATGGTTGCCTGCGGAGGAAAAGTGAGGAAAAGGAGCAGAGCTTCGAAGTGGAGGTCGCCAATCGATTGTGGTCCTTGTGGGGCACCGCCTATCAAGTGGATTCCGGGGAGAGTAGTACCTCGTCGGAGTCCGCAGCCGGAAGGACCTCGGCCCCAGGAAAAATGCTGGCCTGCTGTGTGCTAGCCTGTTGTGCAGGCAGTTTCCATTCCCTGGATTCCTGGGACTCCCGCCTGTTGGACACGATCCTGCTGAACGGTGAGGATTACTACGATGAAAGCTTGGCGGCCAGGCAGCGCAGGGATTTGGAGGGTGAAGTCTCCCTGGAAACTTTAAACCCCTCCTGCCAACTGGATGGACGCCACTTTTGGGTGGACATCGAGAGGTTCTCGTCCGGAAAGTTGTTCAGCAAAACCAAGAGCTTGGGATCCGCATTGAGTGTGTTCTTTGCCCATCGCTTGCAAACCGGCATACTTCAGCTAAGGGATCAGGCTCTGGCCTTCGGTTTCATACCAAAGTTTGCCTCCGGAGGAGGATTCTTCCTCTTCCACTGCCAGGCGAGGGGGAAGCCCCTCTTCAAGGACTGCGAGAGTGCTCCCTATGTCCTTAGGATGCGAAAGCTGCAGCAACTTCTCTACTGCATGCTGATCACATTGGACGAGCGCCGACGCAACGTGCCCTTCAGGATCTACAAGGTGGGATGTGTTCCCAGTGCTGTTTAGAGGGGTATATAAATTTATCTGTTTATCTAGAACTACCTTAAGATAACGAAAATACCATCTTTACATTTCTAGGCCACTTTGTAAGCTCAACTCTGCAAAAATTCCTACTCTAAAATATACCGAAACCAAGCCAAATTAAATAGTAATTAAAATAATTCAATTAATTTATTTTAGTCCCTCGATCTTCTGTCGAATATTTATAATTAATTTTAGTCACTTAATATAAATATCTATTTTTTTTTGCTTATAAGCTATTAATCCAATGAGCCTTAGGTATAAATACTTAGGGTGATGACATCAGCCACACTACACCCCGTTCTATATTGTATAGCAGCAGTGCATATAGTCACCGACTTAAGCTCTCGTAACCCACATTAAAAACACATTTTGCCAGGCAAATCAAAAGTAATTGTCTCACATCACTGCGCTTGACATTGCATTTGCTTTGAGTAACGACCGTTTGGCTTCTGCCGGCAGTTCATCATTTGCAAGATGCAGTATATATCCACACGCTCATTTATGGTCTCCAAGCGGAAATGAGTTCAGCCTGTCATTCAATTGGCAAAATTCGTTAATTGCCTACCACGCAAATTCAAAATCTGCGAAAACTCTTTTTTTATTTTTTGCAACTCTTGGTGACTTTTGACCCTCTTCAATTGAGCGTAGGATTTGCTGGGTTCACAGATTGAATGCAAAGACAAATTGCTACTAAATTTCGGGTGCCGCCTGGTAGCGTGATAATTCCATTATGCTTTAATTAAAATCGCATAAAACCAGCGGTGTATATAAATAAAATTTGTCACATGGCACGAAAAGCGAAGGCTGTCATAAAAAAGAAAAACACTTACAACATCGAGTGAAATAACGCAAAATAAATATATAAAATGGGTGGCAACTAAGTCGCGAGTAAAGCGTTTTGGCCATTTAAACTTGTCGCACGGCTTTTATTTGTTTTGGGTTTTAGTTTTTTTCTTGTTGTTGTTGTTGTCTCTGGCGTTTGTTGTTGGCTGGCGAAAATGTCGTACAGAGTTTCCAATAAAACTGGCCATTTATCATGGGGCAGCCGCTTTGGAAAATATATTGAGAATCGACAGTCGAATGTTACGCATACGCCCCGGAGGGCAGCTGTTGGCTGTTGGTCGCTGCGCATGCGCAGTCAGCGATTCGAATGCGATTTTCCCCCGATCAGGCCTTAACCCCGGCTATTCTTGGCCCGGTCCGTTCCGTCCCGATCGGATTCGATTCGATTGGCGGGTGCGTGCGCATTTTTCACGCTTTGTCAACTTTCGGTACGAACTACTGGGAGGAGGAGCAACTAATGCCGCAGATTAGTGTCAAGATTTGCATACGAAATCGTATATCTGCCAGGTGCGTGTGTCGCCAATTTGGTAAGAGTGTTGCCAAATTTGGCTTATTCCGTCGAGTTGCGGTTGCCAAATGTTGTGCCACTGCGTCCTGCACTCATGAATCATTTTTCGGTCGGTGATGTGAATCATTTTTAATGGCTAACCGCATTCAAATCTAGATATGTCAACTGTTTAATGAGGGGGAAGTGGTTACAGGTATGAGCTGATTTATATCACCTGAGGAGTGGTGTTAATCGACTGTAGCCAAGTTAATTAATTGTGAAAAATTCTTTTAAATTCGGTTCTTTGTTTTATATAATAAAACATCTTGGTTTGAAAGATGCACTGGTAAAATCGTATATGGAAAAGCTTTTTAGCTGAGGATTGAGTGCCGGCTTAGCCAAGTTGCAAACCATGTTTCTTTAGGATGACCATTTATCAAAGCAATGCTAACGTTACTCGTAGACAGAAAGGGTATATTGTATTTGTCGGAAAGTACTCGGGGTTTTAAAAAAAAAATAAAATCGATCGGCTTTAAGTGTTAAATTCTTTAGTTCTTTCAGTCCCGCTTATTTTGAAACCACGAAGGATTTGGAAATATTTTAATTAATACTATTTTTAACAAGAGAGAACGCTATAGTCGGGTGCCCCGACTATCAGGTACCCGTCACTAAGCTTAAGGGAGTGCGAGGGAGATGGAGATATACAACTTTGACCGCGCATACCTTTTTAACGAATGGTCCGATTGATAGATATTGATAAAACTGCATTTTTACATTTCCAAAATCTTTAATCTGTGGGCGCCAGACACCTTTTAAAATCGTTTTAGGGCGATAATGGGCGTTAGGGGGTCGTTAGAGGGGGCGTGGCAATCAGCTGAAACAAACTTGCGCTGCGTAGAAAGCCAGAGAATATGTGTGGGTAATGCCAACTTTCTAGCTTTTATGGTTTCCGAGATCTCAGCGTTCATACAGACAGACAGAGGGACGGATAGACATGGCTAGATCGACTCGGCTAGTGACCCCTTACGGGGTCGGAATGCTTCCTTCTAGCTATTACATACTTTTGCACGAATACAATATACCCTTTTACGAGTAACGGGTATAAAAATGCCTCCAAAAGTAGGAGGTTATATGTAAAAAAACAACCAAGATATAATTTGTTTACATTTTTTCCCCCGTTTATTCATATGGGAGCTATATGATATAGGGCAAAGTGTTAGCCCGATAGCTTTAAAACTGAGAGACTCGTTTGCGTAGAAACAGAAGGACAGACGGAATATATATTCTTTATTTCGGTCGGAAATGTCTCCATCACCGCGTTGCAAACTTCTGACTGAAATCATAATACACTCAAAATAAATTTAACCCTAAATTTTAGAAAATCGCCCTAAAAATTTCTTTTTTCTAAAAACAAGAAAGTTATTTCTAAATCTAAGGAAATTTTTCTTAAGTCAAGAAAGTTTTCCTTAAATCCAGGAAGTTTTTCTAAAATGTAGAAAATGGTTACCATGAACTAAGATCACCCTAAAATCTAGGAAAAATACCCTTAAAATTAGAAATTATTTTCTGAAAAATAGAAAGGCAAACAAAAGAATGAAATATTTTGGCAACGCCTTTTCTAAAAATGAGTGCCCTAACCCTAAAATTAAGCTAACCCTAAATAATAGAAACATTTCCTAAAAAGTAGAAAGTTTTTCTAAAAAATAGAAATAGTTGTTTTCACATGCTCTGGCACGCCAAAATGTTCAATGCCAGAACTTGTCATCTGTCGGGCGGCTGTACTCGTAGCGCAGACGGTTAAAGCACTTGGTTAACAATCGAATCGACCCTGGTTCGAGTCCCAGAGCAAACTATTTTTACCTTTTTTTTAAGTTTTTTTTTTAGTTTTTTTTAATTTATTTTATTGTTTTTTTTTAATTTGTTTTTGTTTAATCTTTTTTATTATTCCTTTTTTTTATTGATGGCAAGCGGTAAACCGAAAATAATTTGGTTTATATTTAGCTATTTACTATATACTACACATAATACAAATTGCGATAGCATAAATATATGCATATGTATATACGTATGTAAATAAGTAAAACGCGAATGGTCAAAATTATGCAATTAGTATTCAAATGTGTTGTCCGCTTCACCCTTTACATACAATGCTCGGTTTGCCACAGCAAGTTTAAGTGCTACAATGGCCCAGTATGTAGGCCATTCGCTCCTCGCGCGGGAGACCCGGGTTCGATTCTCACGACGGACAAGTAAAAATTGTAAGTTTTTTTCATGAATATAAAATATTAACTAATCATAATTTCTACATTCCCAATCTTCCGCAGTCCAGTAGTCTACATTTACAACCACATTTGGCTTTGGTTAGATAAGAAATCCAAGCGCAAATACATAATAATAAATACATAACCTTTAACATTCACAATATACATGACACACAACGCCTGCATATGTATATAGGGAGAAGTACATAATATAAACGTATATACAAAAAAAAATCATGATTGAACATGTTTTTTTGTTTTGTTTTTCATTTCTATTTTTTAGGAAAATTTCCTACTTTTTAGAAATTGTTGCCCTTAAATTTAGTAAAACTACCCTAAAATTTAGAAATATGACGTCAAAAAAAATCAAAAATATAGAAAATTGTGACCCTAAAATTTAGGGCGAGCTTGTCTTGAAGACAAAAGTAGGGCGATTTCCTTGACTTTAGGGTTAATTTTATTTTGAGTGTACCCTCTGCAAGAAAATAATAACCGTTGACGGCTCTAGGGGTTGGTACATTTTTGTTTATTTCGTAACCAGTTTCCAAAACAATTTTGGGGAGTGCAAGTAAAATATGGAATGTGAAATTTAATACCTATGTACAGAGTGGCGTAGAAAGGATTTGGTTGAAGGGGTTTCCAATAGAAACTTTGTGTAGCCTACTTCTGAAAACCATATTTTCATTGGATTTCACCTGAGCCTAGAGCCTTGAGTTACATATCTTGAATTGACAAACAAGTCAATTTTTATAGCCGTTAGTCGTAAAGTAAGAGGATAAATTGTATTCTGAGAAAAGTAAGTAACACGTTGAATAAAGCGTTTCCGACCGTATAAAGTATACATATTCTTGATCAGGATCACTAGTCGAGTCGATCTAGACACATGTCCGTCCGTTTGAACGCTGTGATCTCGGAAACTATAAATGCTACAGAGTTTGCGTTTTAGATTTAGATTCCTTAGCTTCCCATTCAGCGCAAGTTTGTTATGCGTGCCACGTCCACAATTTTTAAGTTTTTGTACAAGTGTAAATGAGATCTTGTTTGAATTACCAATATCTATTTTGAAATCGGACCATTAATTAAAAAGTTAAAACAATCTCCATCTCCCTCGCACCGCCTTTAGCTGTGTAACGAATATCTGTAAGACGGGCACCGGTGTTCTATCTTGTTTAAAATCGAGTGGTTGAGTTCAACCTAACTCACTTGGGTCACTTGATCACTAATAAGGAAAAACAAACATTTTTGAAACACATTTTGTTAGGAAAACAATTTTTTGATTTAGTTATGAATATTAATTTTGAAACTATCGCATCATTTTATTAAAAATAAGATTAGTACTTAAATATTTCATTCAGGTAACATTTATATTTACTAACATGTATTGCACTTGAATTTACAGTTAACCCGTCGAATTATCTTTACTTCTTGTAACCGCCATACGCTGCCAGAAGCAACATTATCAATTAAACTGCATTGTTTGCTGCTCTCTCGATGAAATCGAAAAATTGCAAGCGACGAGCAAAAACAAAGCCGAATGCATGAGTCTGGCTGGCTGTCTGTCTGGTGGGACTCTTTGGGGTTTCGCAGGAAGTAAAAAAAACAGAATGCTGGCAAGGGTGTTCCCAGGACCCGGGGCAACAACAACTGCAGTGCCGGCAGCGACGCGGCTGCGCTGCCAGAACTTTCAGTACCAAAACTTAGGCACTCTGGCGAAGAAGCCTCGGCAACATCCACAGTCGTTCCTCGGCCGAGCAACCGTCTGCATCGCGCGCAGCTCTCGAAGCGATTTCGAAACCCGACGAACCCCTTCAAAGGATACAGTATACCACTCTCCACAGGCGCCACCAAGTCGCCTTCCGCATCCCTAAAGGATTTCCCTAAACATTCCATGGAAGCAATGTCAGCGATGCCGATGAAAGCCCTCCTCGCTGGTGTTTTTCTGCTGGCCAATGCCTGGCACATCACAGGTGAGCTACATTTAAAAGGTGATATTTCGATCAGTAAATAAAAACACTCTTAGTCTCCATGTAAACATGAAACCCCCAAGAGTTGGTCAGATTTTTCATTATTATACACAGAGAAGAAACGAGAGCAAAAGTTAGCTTTTGAATATATAAATTTTGGATTCTAAAGGTAGAAAAAAAATCAGAGCAATAAAACAAGTTCTTTTGAAATTTTAAAAAATTACAATACCCAACTAAAATAATATTCTCAAGCTGTCAAAATCCAAAGGCAGAATTTTCTTCTGTGCACCTGTAATCCCATCTGCTCCACAAGGTCGCCGATCCGCATAAAGTTTGAGGTGTGATGGTTTTTATACTCAGAGCCCATGAATGAAATTTGTTTCCAATTTTCCCCCATGTTGTTTATGTAGTTTTTCCGCCAGCTATTTAACGATTTTCCCTTGCGGTGTTTATGCAAATTCTCAAAATTTTGGCTTACAACTAAAAAAGTTTCAGGTGGAAGGCATTAAATATACTTAGCAATTTTATGTTTCTCGCGATTCGAAAGAAGATTTATGAACGACACTCAAAGTGATGGAGGTTTCTGCTGTTTTTATCTGTCGTAAACAAATTAATATCGGCTGGGTGGGAAATAATGAAATATTAATAGGCTGCGATGTGGGCTTCAATATATATAAAGTGCTCATTTGTTTATTTTGCGTATAAGCACGTGTAGAAAGAAGAAAGACATTTGAAAATTATGAAAAAATATGATTTATTGCGAGAGGTTAACCCAATTTAAAATGTTATTATGAAGAAAATAAAATGTATATTACTTATGCCAGTAGTTCCTTAAATTTATTTACATCTCTTTGCTGAATTAAATAAATATATTTTGCAAATTTATATCTGTACATTCCTACATCTTTAATGTATGATACAGTACTTTTGAAATGCATTGTTCAGGTAATGTAACATTCTTTAAATTTCTTAATATACTGCACATTTTCCCATTATATATATGGAAAATTCGTGGGTCATTGCTTTCTTGATGAACATCGCTAAATATATACACGTGCAATATTCGCATTTCGGATATTTTCACGCTTTTGAATGATTGGCAACCTGCACGCCTTATAAATACAAATATTCGCCCGACTGCCAGACATTTCAATATTTATTTAGATAGGCATTTCGGCGTGGTTAATTTGAATGTAAAACGGCAAATGCAGTTTCCCCATTTGCATTGTACGCTGAATATTTTTGAAACGCTTTTAACGATGATGAGAGTAATTGAGAACTGTGATTGGGTCATTAGATGGTGAATCGAAGCAGCAGCTTCTGCTCCCTGTTGCTCTCAATTAGCCTTGTTCAGTGCTCTGTGTCCTGCAATTATCTAATTGCTCTGTTTTTGCCGTGCCTTCAATCTGGATTTACGAGATTGGGGAAGTGCGCATGTCAGAGTGGCGCCAGGATGTCGCCTGCTCCAGTTTCCCGCTGTCTTCAGCATCTGACATCCCGACCTCCACCCGGAAAAATCCCAACCCCCCTTGGCAAAAAACTATGTCAGAGTCTGGCGGTCTTCTTTGGGGGTTAGTTCTCCGTTTCCCGACTTGAATTGCGTAATTTGCGCAAACTGATAATGAATGGAGATAGAGAGTTTGCCGAACCTTCATTTACAGGAAGCGGAGATTGTCCTGACACACATCCGATCTGTATCGCATAATATTTGTTATTCTTGTACATTTTTTGGGGGGATGTTTTGCTTAATTTAAACCTGTACACTCATAGAAATTTTTACCCTAAATCGCCCTAAAAAACTGACTTTTCGCCCGTGGATTTAGAAAATCGCCCATAAATCGTATCCGCTGGCGATTCGCCCGTGTATTTAGAAAAATTTTCTAAAAAATCCCTATGGAAATTTGGTTTAATTTAGGGTGATTTTTCTTGAATTGAGAAATATTTTCCTATTTTTAGGGTGATTTGCCCTAAGTTTAAGGCGTATTTTTCTAAAAGTAAGGGCAAACTTTCTGTTTTTAAAGGCAAATGCCCTAAAAAATTATGCAAATTAAAAAAAATCGTGTTTGAGCATGCTTAACTGAATTTGGGAAGCATGAATTTTAGTCGTGTATATTCTGGGAACTGGGACTGCTTTAATTAAACAACACCGGCGGAGGACACCGTTGCATATTATTGTATTGGTGTGTAGCTTATATGGGAGCTGCGTTAAGAGGGGGGCCCGATCTATACAACACAGCCATTAGAACTGAAAAATCATGTTTGTAAACGAATTAGGGAAATAAATATGAGGAGAAAAAACAACTTACTTTTTTGGTCATTGCGAGAATCGAACCCACGACCTCTCGGTTTAGAGTCTAACGTCCTACCGCTGCACCACAGACCCATCGCGCAAGGCAACGAACAAACTCTGCAGACATCTTATTTTCTTGAGGTCTACGTTATAATTTGACTAAAGGCAACTAAACCGTATATTTTTTTCCTGACGACTGTAACAATTAGTCCCGTTTTCTTGCCAGCAAACACAAAGTATGCTTTTCACTCAGAACTCCCATACGTTTTTAAGGTTTAAAGACTACTTTAATTTAAAATTCGGACGAAAAAATGTCCTTAGTATTATAACGTTTACAAAAAAAAAAAAAACATAAAAATCAAGTTGAATCACACAGGGTTCGAACCCACAACCCCACGACCTTAGTCCTCATATAGCAAAGTTGAAAGCGCAAGTGATTAGACCGCTGGGCTACCGAATTTCACACTTTTGGAGTGATTTTTAAGGCGAATCGCCCTTGTATTTAGACAAATTTTAGAACAAAAATTAGGGCAATTCGCCGTTGGATTTAGAAAAGGTCAAAACGAAGCAAATCGAAAAAATCGCCCTAATTATTAGAAAAATAGAAAAATTAACCCTAAAAATATTTTTTTATGGTCACCTGCCTTGAATTTATGGCAAATTTGTCGTGAAAATAGAAAATTTTTCTCAGTTCAAGGGCGAAAATTTTTTTAGGGCGATTTTCTAAAATGTAGAAAATTATTTTTATGAGTGTATGTTCTTCGGGGTGGCAAGTTTCAAAACAGAACGCTCACAGGGCCGTGGAGTGCCACTTCCTCCAAACAAGTCTCAGCTTTCAATTACCCGAGAACCGCTTTAAAAGAAGCCACACCAAGTCAGGCCATATGCGTGACCTAAGCGAATACTTTCAGAACGTTAAGCGTGGGCGATTTAAAACTTCTAGGCGGCGACCTTGATGTGCTCATAAGATGCACTTAGAAAAAGGACGCAGTTAAATGGGACACCATAAAATGAGATTAGCACAAAAGCAAAAATATATATATTTACATTTTCAACTCTTTATTTGTTTATAAAAATCAAATTGTATTACATTTAAAATTATTTTAAAAATAGAATACCTAAATTTACCTATGATTTTTTTTTGCGTGTGGAGCAGTGGAAAACAATCAATTACTCACACTATAAAATGCAGGACTGTGCCAATTACCTGAAATTGTTTTGGAAATACCCGAACAAAAGAGCCAACTAGGCTGGGAAAATGGATAAAAACGTTGTGGGTCAGGATTTTGAATGTGTCCAGTCAATATAGGGCTGCCACACTGCCACTCTTCCGCAAACTGACATTTCAAGGCCAAGACAATTGAAGGCTTCAGACCGTATACGTAATATCGCCACCTCTGGTGGTATAATGTAATTTAGCAAAGGGAAAGCGAAATATATAAATATGTTATAGTCAATATTTGACAGCCACCACTCCTCGGTAATAACCCCTTCCAAGACTGTTTGCTTGAGTTGCCCCAGTGCTTCACTGGACTTGTGGCATGTTTGCCTTTTTCCGGTGGTAAACAAGGTGAGTCCTGGTCCTTTCGCATGGCAGGACATGCAAAACTCTTTCAAGGACACAGCCGGCGATCTTGATATACTGTCGTGCAAAATCACGCAACCTTATCACCACAATTAGAGGAGTTTCCCTCCTATAACCATTCCCAGTAATCACATCATCAAAGCTCTTGCACTAATTAAATCATTTGCGGGATTCTATAAATAGTGGAGACTCATCTGAACAGTTTGTTATACGAATTGCTATGTTTTGGGTGTGAAAATTAAATCAGAAGTGCGAAATGAACGCGGTGAACGGAAGAAAAACAAATTATTATGAAAAGAAAAATAAACAAAGAGCCAAAATAATAATATGTATGAAGAAAAATATCACGGGGAGTTCCAGACAGTGATGGGTAAATTCAATTAATAGTGATTCATCTCGCATATGCTAATTATTAAACATTATTGACATAAATAAAACTTTAGTTTCCAGAGTAAAGAACGTTAATGAGAAAAAACACTTTTCTTAAAAAAAGTTATAGTAAGACAAACAGTCAATGTATACTTATGGAAACAAATCCATCTTAATGGGGTATATACAAATTATTCCGGTTAAAAAATTGTCGTGGGAAAATATAAATAAATGATCTCCGTGATCTTCTAGATTTTCTAGCGAAAAATACTTGAATATTTGCTTAAAACAATTGTTGACCAGAAATTTTAGCTTGATGCTCTCATAACTTTTTCTAATTTATAAATATTTAGAGTGCATGGCAGTCAAAAATTAAAGGTTTATATATATAACAGAGTAACAACGAGAGATTTTGAATCCGTGCAGTTCTTTCTGAAGTGCGTCTCGGAACAGGTCTGGGAAATTCGATTCCGTGTGAATCTAGAATCGGCCCTTTTCTAGGTTTTATAATGTGATAATGTTATTTTTATACCCAACCAGTGCTGAGCAGCATTCTATATCTTTTCTGCCAAAGTCCTGAGACAATTTGCCCAGCAATTTAACAGTAAGAACTCGGTTACGTATGGCAAATAAAATTCGACTGAGGCGCCACTTCGACTGGCCACGCATTCTCCATTTTCGCAGTGGGTGGCTGAAAAGTGGGTGGCACATGAAGCTGATGATGTCAACCGCTGGCTGGAAATCGTTGGGTGAAAAGTACACAAAACTGTGTCGCCCTCGTTTATTTTTAGACCTCAAACAAAGTTCCTTTTTTTGGTGGCATATTTGCCCGCCAAATATATATTTCGCCAGCGACCCCATGAAAGGGCAACTAAAGTTTGACTTGCTAATAAAATGATTTCCTTTCTTTCAGCTGGAAATGAGCAAAAGAACCACTTGCAGTGCTGGCACTGCAGCTCGGACACCATTGGAGCGGAAGACTTCTGCGATGTGACCTTCCAGGAAGACAATATCCCGACCGACCTGATCAAGGAGCGGAACATCAATCTGCTGAGGAGCTGCAACAGCACCATTAATTCGGATCACGAGCGAGCCGTTTGCCGCAAAACAGTGGAGGAGAGTGAGTTTTCAGGTCATCGTGATTTCTTTAAATACGTATCATATCGAATGAAATTCCAGATAATGGCAAGACGATCACCAAGCGGTTCTGCTACTATACCAACAAGTCGGATCCCGTGGAGCTGTGCAACATCACCAGCCCGGAGAAGAATGTGCGGCGGATATTCTGCGAGGACTGCCTCACCGATCGCTGCAATGGAGCCTTTACCGGAGCCTCCATTTGGGAGATGATGCAGCTCCTGCCCATCCTGGCCCTAGTCCAACAGTTGGCCATCTAGGCGAAAGATCTCTCTATTGTATTTTAGTTGGAACGTGATATTTTGCCTGGCCTCACGGGCCGAGCTGTATGGCTGATTAACGTTTACGTTTAGCTCGATTTAACCTAGTTTTGGGGACACTGGCTTCCCGCTCATTAGCTTACATTCAGATTGAAGTTTAAGGTTCGTTTATAAGTTTATGATTTGCCTGGCCGAGTGCCAATGTTTGCCAAGCTCAAAGCCCGAATATTCCGAAAGAAATCCAACTATAACGTAAATAAATAGAGCTACACTAAAGGAAAGGTATAAATAAATGAAACAATAATCAGTAGAGTCTAAACCCCCAAAGCACAGTAAATACTCACTAAATAGTCTATGTACAACATGATATTTTAATGTAAAGAACACAAGCCTTCACCTATGTAATTATCTCAGATGCTAGAGAAACAAAAACACAATTCAAATCAAAGTATTAAAGCACTCGAACATACAAAACACACCGAATAAAGTTCACACAACTGAAGTCTTAATAAGCGGGCTATTGGTTTTTATAGGAATTTGAGGAGATCAATTACGGCATCAACCAGTCTTTGCTTAATATTTTGATCCTGGCCCGAATAGAACTCGTCCATTTGGATGCTCTGCCAGAGTTTTGCCATGTAGCCGCTGAACTCCTGGCTGACTTCCCCGCCCCTCCTGTAGCGATCGTAAAGCATCAGTTCCGCCTGGACCATTAGGTAGTAGGAGTTCCGGTTTCCGGACATGTAAAGCTGGTAAAAGAACGCAGCCAGCTTCGTCGAACCCTCCAAAGTGTAGACCTTGCGAAGCACTCTTTCCAGAATCCTATTCAGTTGATCTGGCTTAAAGAGACAATGCAATTTCCGGGAATGCTGGCCTATGGCCAACTGCCACTTTCCCACTTCGTGCTCCTCTGAAGCCAAGGCTTGCCGGAACAGATCGGTGGCATTCACTATCTCCAGATGCTCGCGGATCTGCTCGCGAATGAGATAGCCCTGTAGATGGTGACGAACTGTCACATTGCTCTCCTTTCGACACACCACGCGCTCTAGGGTCTCCTGCAAGTCCTCGATTTTGGCCACGTCCCTCGGGTAGTCGGCTTTAAGTTTCCCCCAAGTGGCTGCCACCAGGAAAAGCTGCTCGGAAACGGTTCCATTGAAGTCCTCAATCAGACGCAGCATCTGTTTGTTGTCATAGCTGATCACCTGCGTTCCCAGAGTAGCGTTTGCTGCCACAAACAGCAGGGGGAATATTAAAAACAGTTTAGTGATCATTCCGAGACTTGGAATGCAACTGAAAGCAACACCAGCTGGGTTATCTTCAATCTGAGCTTATCAGCTTGGTTCAACCGCAAAGTGCTCTCATGGAAAGATGAGCTTATCACTCGAAAGTTTATTTCCTATGCCTTTACATAGGGTACTTAAATTTGGTTATCAACAGAATATAGTTATAGATTTTAGTTAAAGTTTTTCAAAATAAGTACATTTGAATTTTATAGTACCATCATCATATCATATCATTTGAAGACTAAAATTGTTTCAATCCAACTGAAGAAATTAAGACATCGAAGTTAAGCCGCCCCCAGATATCGTATTCCTTCTTGTCACTGTCCCACTAATCCGAAAATACACTCGGATAGCCATAGAAGTTGAATCCAATTAGCCGACCTACATACGAGACAATGCAACCCTCGGTGATATCCTGCCATTGTCCTTGTTCCACTGGCCCCAACGCAGCCTTCCATTCATCCATTTTCAGCCCCCATGTCTGGCCAGCTGGGCACATCTAATTAAATTTATGCAAATTATTTGCCGTCCTTGTTGATTAGTGTCACCCCATCTGTGCCTCATTAAGCTTCGATCGATGCTCAATGAGATGAGCCAAATGCATGAAATATGTTGTCTGTGCAAATCACTTTAAATTTTGTGACATACTTTTGGGCGATGGCAAAAATTACTTGCATGAGTTTAGTAATCTTTAGAGAAACACTCAAGTTTCTGGAAGATAATAGTTTGGCACTTCATATCTACTGAATCTACTAATTAGCAAGTAAGTTCTGTCACTTAGAATTTTCGCCTATGCAAACAACACTTTAGAGAGTGGATGTTAATGAATCTGTTCCTGACTCATACATGACAACTTGACTTCAAAGCGATTCTTCTTGAACACATATTGCATGTTCAATATAATAATACTAGCTCTTCTTTATTTGATTTTATAAATTAAAATACCACATTTATATAAATATACTCGTTTCTTTCCAACAAAATAAAACTGCACTCATAGACCTACAACTCAATTTAAAGAGCAAAACAAAAACAAACTGTAACCGGTTTTCTGAGGCGTAAAATAATAATAGAAATATGCCTGCTATTGAACTGAAATTTCCACTCAAAACAAAAACCAGAGAATGAATTTTGAGACTGTCTATAATTCTCTTTTGAGGGGCAATTCTCTGCTGAGTCGGCATGTTGCTGCTGGAACTGCAATATTGCTGTTGTCCCAACTCGCGGCGCTCGACAGTTTCAGACGTTCAGCAGATATCGTTGTCGGCGGTTCATAATCGTGCATAAGTTTCCAAAGATTAATTTTTGAAAACGCAAACCCAAAAATCAAGTGTTGGTGAAAATGGTGTCCGCTCTGAAATGCAGTTTGGCCCTGGCCGTTATGATCAGTCTGGCCTGTTCAGGTGCGTTGCGTTTGAAATCGTGGGCAGTGCAAACGGTGTATTACAAGGAGTTCAAGGAGAGCCAGTTGAAAAGATTATTACAATAAATTTGTATATTTTTGAAAGCTATTTTTATTTGGAGAGGGAATTTGTAAAGATTTCGATATATAAATTTGTATTTTTCTCATTGCTAATTTTATTTGAAGACGAAATCTTGTCTTGTGCTCAAAAATAATATTATTGCTATTATTGCTTGTTAAAATGATAAATTTAATCCTTTTAATGTCTTCTTTTCCATATGAAGACAATATAAATATTACTTTTGGCTTCAATAAATTTAAAATATACTAATCATGTTAAATCAATATTTTTTCGATTTTCTCCAATGCTTCCATTAATATTCTTTAAAAAATATATATTGTTTTCCTCTAATCCAATATATTTTGTAGCCTATGCCATCAAGTGTTACCAATGCGAGTCCCTGACAATGCCCAAGTGTGGTCTGAAGTTCGAGGAGGATGAGTCCCTGCTGATGGATTGTTCCCGCATCGCACCACCCCGCTTCCTGCAGAACTTCTTCCCCCTGAAAAATGCCACTGGCTGCATGAAGAAAACCCTGGAGAGCGGTGAGTTCACAGTCCTCTAAAAAAACTGGAAAAATATATTGATATTATTCAAGCTCATTCGTTCTGAAAAACCGTTTAAGGACATATTGCTTACTTTGAGTTGAATATTCTCATTATCAGAACAAAATGGTAGACAATTTAAATGATGTTTATTCTACTGACTGGAATAATATTTTAGTTGTTGAGATAAACATTGTAAATTCCACCAATTCAACTTGATTCAAGCACCGTGAACACCTTTTTAACTTAAAAAAATGTCGTCCCATTTTTAAGTACAAGTTCAACACAGTTAAAACCGAGGGATTTCTCTCTGTGAAAAATTTTAAATAAAAGTCTTTTCAGAATATCTTAACTACTAAAAATTCAATTCAAGATTCAAATCCCAATAAAACTAATACAATAGCAAACTGAAAGTGATGCTCTCATGTTTCTTTCTTCAAGCAACAACTAACGAAGTCTAACACTCCACAAGACCTGAGATCATCACAGAAAATCGTTTTTTTGTGTTTAGTCTCTGATGTCATGCGTGAATATTTCGTTTTCTGAGCTCTTTATTTCATTCGACGTGATTCCTAGTCACCTTTTTTGCGTCTTATTTTCCTCTAATTACATCAAATTGAGAGCTTAATTCGTGTTCTCATACAAATAATAATAGCGGTGACGAGATAGAGATTGAATGCCGCAAACTTTTCGCTTTCGCACGCTTTGCATTTTTGAATTTATTTGCGGCCAATAAATTATTTAGTCATAAATATTATGATCGTTTTTCCACGTTTTTCAAGCAGCCCCAGCTCTGAGCCCTATTAATTTACAGAGACGAATCAATTAAAAAAATAGTAGAAAAATTTACAATGATGAGATCACAGGTGAAAAATAACAGAGACTCCCTGTTACTAATATGCAAATATATATTTTATGTTCTTTGTCTTTTGTCACAATAACGTACAGTGTATTTCTCGATAACAACTCAAATAAACAATTAACAAGTGCCAGTTGTTACGTGAACAATGGGTTCATTTAGTAGTCCCCATCAGAGAAAGTTGTTGGCCCAATTGCTCATCCCAAACCAAACAATCTGCTCCCATTTCAGTGGCCGGACATCCGCAGATCGTGAGGAGCTGCTACTTCGGAGACATCAATAATGTGCAGAGTGGCTGCCAGACGGATCCCTCTCTGCCCTTCGTTAGGCAGCTGGGCTGTGACGTCTGCACCAAGGACGAGTGCAACGGATCCTCCTCCCTGGCCCCCATCGCCGGAGCTATTGTCCTCTTCTTCGGAGTTGCTCGTCTCATGGCCTAGATCTTAACTAGCTAGTAACTTAAGTGTTTGTAGTCTACAATGGCCTTGCTTTGTGTAAATTTCACCTAAATTAATTTGATAATAAACGAAGGACAGAAGGTTGTTCTAGCAATATACCAAACAGTGTGGTAACCTAATTCATTAGCGGGTTTGTGGAACTATACTGGATTCGCGCTTGCGCCGAATTGACAATAGTTGATAAGCGTTTGGACTAGAAAAGGTAGACTTGGAATCTATCACTGTGGACGGTAGTCCAAATCGAATCGCACCGGAAAGTTTAGCCGTAAAATTTAAAATCTGCTACAATAGTCTGATCAAAACGAGTGATACGCTGATCGAAAGGTATAAATATATTCTTAAAATTTTTAAACTTAAACTTTTTAGAACTTATTTGGCTTCAGAAAATTTTAATTTAAAAAAAAAAAATGAAAACATTTTCAAGAGTATGCCTGTAAAGCTGTAATTTTTGAGGAATCGTGCCGAATGAGAAAAGTGTAGAAAAAACATTCGTCACAAAATATGATGTCAGAACTTTAGTACTTATATTGAAGAGGCGATCGTCATTAATTTATTACCTCGTCAGGAGATGTTTTTGCTTGATAAGTAGTTTAGTAATATCATGAAAATGGGGTATTTGATCTTGAGCACATTATTCGGATTATTGCTTTATTTCCTTTGCTTGATCGTTGATTGTTTTTTCGGAAACATTCAATTACTCATTAAAAAACACTTAACTAATGTTAATGTTCTAGTTAAATGTAACTTTGCCGACTCTTCTTTTAAGATTTGTCGTTTGATAAATTTACCCTGGTAGATAAGAAACTAGAACCTTGAAGTAAACCTTTATTCAAACGTTTCAATTTATATCTGAATAATTGGCAAAAAAATACATTTTTAAGAATGCCAAAAAGAATATTCATCTTCTAAGCCTTTTCTTAAAATGACTAACAAGGGAAATAGAGTTACTAGTTGATTGTTTACTTTGTAACTTCGGCCCAACCCTTGTAAAATGATCAAACAAGCCGATATGAGTAACTTCTCGAAAAGTGTACTTCATTTAGAAAATCAGTGGACCTACAGTAATCACAATTTGTACGGATAACACATTTTAAGTAAAATCATCAAAAAACAATAAAATTCAAAATGACGCTCAATGAGTCATAGTCAAACAGAAACGGAATCTTTATAATATGTCTGGGACTTGAGGGTGAAACACCTGGGATCTAATTAGTATGTGCACCCACATGAGCAACAAAAATTTGAATGTTCGAAAACAAGATCGCACAGTTCGCCCCTTTTTTTCAGCGGGAAGTGGGATTTATGTTCATCTGCCTACTTAATTACCCACAATTGAGTTCAATTTCATTTGAAGTCAAGTTTTAGTTGTTCTTCCACCCTTCGGATTCGAGTTTACAAAGTGTTAAATGCAGTTCAACAAAGGTCAAGAAACTCCAGACTGCGAGATCCGAGAGCACTTCCACAGATCGGAGAGCTCTGGAAGCTGAAACATCCTCAGACACTCCACCCCCGCCTGTCCCAATTAACCCAAACTCACTTAGCATAATTTCTGAAATTATTTAATTGAAGAAAATAGAAAATTGTGAGAAAGCCACTTAACCGAGTGTCTGTCCATATTCAGGCAAGATTAGACAATGAAATACGTTGGCTTAAATAAAAAAAAAGCAATTAAATTCGAATGAAATAAATTAAAAGAAGCAAGAGAGGACGCTATAGTCGGGTAGGTGTCCCGACTGTCTGATACCCGTCACTCAGCTAGCAGTGCGAGGGAGATGGAGATATAAAACTTTGATCGCGCATAACTTTTTAGTGAATGGTCCGATTTGAAAAATGTCTTCTTTTTCGTTTGCTGTCTCGCTCTGAACGAAACCGAAAAAAATTTAAAATTTTGGTTTCGGTTCGAGCCTTTATTTCAGTTTGTTTCTGTTTTCGGTTGACCGTTCTCGACTGAAAACAAGAAAGGAAGCTAGCTTCGGCAAGCCGAAGCTTATATACCCTTGCAGATCATTCTATTAATTTACAAATCGCAAAAATGTTAAATTTCTTATTATTTCACATTAATTTTTCGATCGTTTCTATCACAGCTATATGATATAGTAGTTCGATCTTTTAAAAATTAAAATCGAAATTCGGAAATATTTCAAAATAGTCATATCCCAGAGTAGAAGGGAATGTAATAAAAACCAACAAAGATATAATTTTTTTCCCATTAATTTCCATTTAATTTTTCGACCGTTCCTATGGCAGCTATATGATATAGTGATCCGATTTAAAAAACAAAAAAACCGAAATTCAGAAATATATAAAAAAAAAATATTCCCAAGAGTAGAAGGTAAAATTTCAAAAAACACCGAAGCTAGAATTTTTTACGTTTGTAGATTAATAGAATGATCTGCAAGGGTATATAAGCTTCGGCTTGCCGAAGCTAGCTTCCTTTCTTGTTTTTTTTGATCCTTCCTATGGGAGCTATAAGATATAGTTGTCCGATCCGGTTGGTTCCGACATATATACTACCTGCAATAGAAATACGACTTTTACGAAAGTTTCATCCCGATAGCTTTAAAACTGAGAGACTAGTTTGCGTAGAAACGGACGGACAGACGGACGGACAGACGGACAGACGGACAGACGGACGGACAGACGGACAGACGGACATGGCTAGATCGACTCGTCTTGTGATGCTGATCAAGAATATATATACTTTATGGGGTCGGAAATGTCTCCTTCACTGCGTTGCAAACTTCTGACTGAAATCATAATACCCTCTGCAAGGGTATAATAAATTTTTGTATGAAACGGTTTGTATGAAACGGTCCCAAAAAACTGTTAGTAGATGAACAAAACTTTGAAATGCTCAGTAAAAACGGTATTTTTTGACAGTGTAATATATAGAACATTTATTTGAAAATACATATATATAAAAAATCCTAGCTTCGGTGTTTCTTCAAATATTAGCTTCTACTCTTGGGAATATTATTTTTTATATATTTCTGAATTTTGAGCTAAATATTTAAAATATCGGATCACTATATCATATAGCTGCCATAGGAACGGTCGGAAAATTAAATGCAAATTAATAGGAAAAAAATTATTGCTTCGTTGGCTTTTTTTGTATTCTCTTCTACTCTAGGATGTGACTCTTTTTAAATATTTCCGAACTTCGGTTTTAATTTTATTAAAATTGAACTACTATATCATATAGCTGCCATAGGAACGATCGGAAACTTAATGAGAAATAATAGAAACTTGAGCATTTTTGCGATTTGTTAATTAATAGGAATGATCTGCAAGGGTATATAAGCTTCGGTTGGCCGAAGCTAGCGTCCTTTCCTGTTTTTTAATGAAATAATAAAGTCAACATATATTTCCATATATTTTCATTGAAATATCATTATTTTGTAAGAAATGTGCAGGATTCTAACCTTTTTGTATATGGGCACTTCCAAATTGTCGCTCGGGACGTTTGCACACCTTTAAAGTTGAAAAAAAATTGGATAAAAATGGATTTTAATTTTATCAATGGGCAGTTTTTTCCCTCTTTCCAAGCTCTATTTTGTGTAAAAATTTTGATTTTGTACCATTTTCAGTTTTTAAGATATCGTTAAAGAACTGCCGTATTCGCTTGGGACAAAAATAGAAGTGGATTTCGGGGAAGTTCATTTAACAACAGAATTTTGCGAATTCTGATGAAATATTTGAATGCGATTATTTTTAGAATGTTGTCCAAACATGTCGCTATGAAATGGTTTTGGTTTTACTCAAAAATTGTTTGCCGTTTTTTTTGTACGCAGTTTTAAACACATTCGCTCGGGACATGTCGCTCGGGACATTTTTTCCGACTGTTTTGTAAAGTGGATTTTTTTACCTCTATCCCTCAAGTGCCGGATGTTTTGCTTTTAACTTAATAGTTTAACATGTAAATTAAGCATTCAGTATAAAAAAATGTCACATATTAGCATTCCTAATGGATAAATTAACAACTGAAGACAGGTCCAAAAAATAACACAAAAATAGCCAAAAATTGATTTTTGTGTATATTGGTGGCGTTTGTCATAAAAATAATCAAACTATACTCCAACTTTTTAGTTAAGCTCAGGATCAAACTATTTAGAAACTAATATCGGGGCAAAATCATGTGGAAATCTGTTTTATTCAAGTTGCAAGGTTTGTGGCTTGGTGGACCTTTTGGTGGAAGTGCCCATATAGCAGGAACAATGAGGATCAGATTGCTTACAAAATGCATGTATACACGGTTCAAAAATTAAGACCATCGTCAGGAGCTATTAGTCTGCACATTTCTGATACAACAATGATGCAGGACTTTTCGTTGGACATTTCTTTAGGGGAATTGCCAAAAATAGCATCACATTTTGCCGATTTTACCGCTCAAAACGGGAGAAAACTGCGTCAAAAATGCCAACACCATACAAATCACCTGCAAAAGTTTTTTGGAAGAAAATCCTTAAAAAGTATAATTAACAAGAAAGAAAGATAGCTTCGGCCAGCCGAAGCTTATATACCCTTGCAGATAATTCCTATTAATTTACAAATCTCAAAAATGTTAATTTTCCTACTATTCCAGCTATATGATATAGTCGTCCGATTTTGAAAAAATTTCATTCGAAATTCAGAATTAGATAAAAAATAACATTTCCAAAAGTAGGATGTTATAGGTTCAAAAACACCCAAGATACAATTTTTTTTACATTTTTTTCCCCTATTGTTCCTATGAGAGCTATATGATATAGTTGTCCGATCCGGCTCGTTCCGACTTATATACTACCTGCAATAGAAAGAAGACTTTTGGGAAAGTTTTATCCCGATAGCTTGAAAACTGAGAGACTAGTTTGCGTAGAAACGGACGGACAGACGGACGGACAGACGGACGGACAGACGGACGGACAGACGGACGGAAAAATGTCCTTAGACGGTCAATTGCGGGTCGTTTAAATGCAGGGCAGGCACCACGAGGACCCCACCTAAAATTAGTACAATAACTTTAGCCGTTTTCAAGCTATAGGTATAAGTCAAATCAATGTTTGCATTTTGCAAACAATTAATTGACAGCCGAATATTTGCAATTTTTTAGTTTTTCTTGTTTTTTAGGGTGCTTTATGGTGAAAAATGAAAATGTTTTGATGAAATCGGAAAGATAATAATTTAATGAACAACATTCCAAAAAAAAAAAATGAAAAAATCTAGTATTTGCTTGTACGTATCAAATCTTTTGCAAACAATTACTTGACAAACTGTATACATAATAGCCATCATCTTCAGAAGAACTCGGGGTTTTTTATTTTGTTTGATAAAGCGTCTAAGAGATAGTATTATCCGGGTAAGTCATCTTCATCTTCCATAATCTTCTGAAGAACTCGCGGTTTTTCATATTTTACATTAGGTAACTGGAAATATTGGTCTGCTAAGGTTCTGCGAAGTACAGACACAATAAAATCCAAAATACTCTTTGTTTAAGATTTTTATATATAAAAATGGAATTATTTTTAAAAATTTAATTTAAAACATTTAATTAGGTTTAAAATATTTGGAAAAAACATATTCTGTGTTTAAACACATAGGTATAAAAAGTCAAAAGACCGTTTTTGTTCTCCGTTCAGTTCAAACGGTTGATCAACCGAAACCGTTTTGAAACAAAAAAATCGGTTACTGGTTGAGCAAAGACCGAAAACCCTTTTAAAGGAAATAAACAGTTTTTATGTGACTATTTGCTCAAAGGGTCCCAAAGTGAGAGTTATTTTGAGACAGCTAGAAATAGTCAACTGTTTTTTACATGCTCTGGGCCAGACACATTTAAAAATAGTTTATGGCGATTTTGGGCGTTAAGCCCAAGAATATGTGTGGGAAATCCCAACCTTCTAGCTTTTGTAGTTTCCGAAAACTCAGCGTTCATACAGACAGACAGACACACTGACAGAGAGACGGACAGACAGACGGACAGAAGGACAGAAGGACAGACGACAGACAGACATGACTAGATCGACTCGGCTAGTGATCCTGATCAAGAATATATATACTTTATGGGGTCGGAAACGCCTCCTTCTATCTGTTACATACTTTTGCACGAATACAATATAGCCTTTTAATCTACAAGTAAGGGATATAAAAAGTAGAGAAGGTACTTCAAAAGACAACATAATTTGACAGGTTTTACATAAAAATGTTAAATAAGTCGGTTTAACATATTTTTAAAAATGTATTTTTATTTTTTTTTATATAATAAGTTTGGTATTCAAACTTATATTTGCTTATCAGAGAAATGGTTCGCAGTAACAGTCATTAAAACTTAATGTGAATTTAGTTGAATCTTACTTCTGTTCTATGGAAAAATATGCATCAACTTTTGTTATTTTGCAAACCAGTGAATAATTCAAAAGATCCATTGATATGGACTAAGTGTTTTGGTCGCGGAGTAAAACATCTAGCTTTCAAACGCTCGCCAACCGCAGAACAGTTAAGATCAACTTTTAAAATAGTAAAATAAATAGTTTTCAATCGCAGAAATGGTGTCGAGTGTAAAACCTTTTCTGGCTCTCATCGTCTTGGCTACTTTAGCCTCCACTGGTATGGAATGTCCTGTATTAACTCTACTCTACTCTTTTCTCTATATCATCGACTTTCAGGTTATGCCATTAGGTGCTACGAGGGATCCGATTTAAGTACGGTTGTTAATTGCGTCGAAGGAAGCGGTTGCCTTAGGAAATCCGTCGGTGGTAAGTGAATAAATAATTTATTTATTATACCCGTTACTCATCGGGTAAAACGGTATATTGCATTCGTGTAAAAGTATATAACAGGGAGAAGAAGCGTTTTCGACCCTATAAAGTATCCTGATCAGGGTCACTAGCCGAGTCGATATGGCCATGTCCGTCTGTCCGTCTGCTTGTCTGTCTGTCTGTCCGTATGAACGCTGAGATCTCGAAAACTACAAAAGCTAGAAGGTTGAGATTTTCCACACATATTCTTGGGCTTCCTACGCAGCGCAAGTTTATTTCAGCCGAGCGCCACACCCTCTAACTCCCACAAACTATTTTAAAATGTGTCTAGCGCCCACATTTTTAAAAATTCGGAGAAGTAAAAATGCAATTTTGTTGTGTTTATTTATACCTATCGAAATGTAAAAGAAATCGGACTATTCGTTAAAAAGTTATGCCCAATCAAAGTTGTATATCTCCATCTCCCTCGCACTCCCTTTAGCTGAGTAACGGGTATCTAATAGTCGGGGCACTCGACTATAGCGTTCTCCCTTGTTATACCCTTCAAGGGGGTTTTATGATTTCAGTCAGAAGTTTGCAACGCAGTGAAGGAGACGTTTCCGACCCTACAAAGTATACATATATATATTATTGATCAGCATCACTAGACGAGTCGATCTAGCCATGTCCGTCTGTCCGTCCGTCAGTTTGTCCGTTTCTACGCAAACTAGTCTCTAAGTTTTCAAGCTATCGGGTTGAAACTTTCCCAAAAGTCTTCTTTCTGTTACAGGTAGTATATAAGTCGCAACCAGCCGGATCGGATAATTATATCCTATAGCTCCAATAGGAATAATCGGAAAAATAATAGACAAAAAATTCTAGCTTTGGGTTTTTTTTTAAATATTACCTTCTACTTTTGGGAATAATGTTTATACCCTTGCAGAGGGTATTATGATTTCAGTCAGAAGTTTGCAACGCAGTGAAGGAGACGTTTCCGACCCCATAAAGTATATATATTCTTGATCAGCATCACTAGACGAGTCGATCTAGCCATGTCCGTCTGTCCGTCCGTCTGTCCGTCTGTCCGTCTGTCCGTCTGTCCGTCCGTTTCTACGCAAACTAGTCTCTCAGTTTTAAAGCTATCGGGATGAAACTTTCGTTAAAGTCGTATTTCTATTGCAGGTAGTATATATAACTATATCTTATAGCTCCCATAGGAAGGATCAAAAAAAAAAACGTAAAAAAATTCTAGCTCCGGTGTTTTTTGAAATTTTACCTTCTACTCTTGGGAACATTTTTTTTTATATATTTCTGAATTTCGGTTTTTTTGTTTTTTAAATTGGATCACTATATCATATAGCTGCCATAGGAACGGTCGAAAAATTAAATGGAAATTAATGGGAAAAAATTATATCTTTGTTGGTTTTTATTACAGTTTCTTCTACTCTGGGATATGACTATTTTGAAATATTTCCGAATTTCGATTTTAATTTTAAAAAGATCGAACTACTATATCATATAGCTGTGATAGAAGCGATCGAAAAATTAATGTGAAATAATAAGAAATTTAACATTTTTGCGATTTGTAGATTAATAGAATGATCTGCAAGGGTATATAAGCTTCGGCTTGCCGAAGCTAGCTTCCTTTCTTGTTTTTGTTTAAATTAGTTTAGCCCTTATCCTCTTATGAAAAATTTAATTTTAATTTAATTTAATTTAATTCATGTTAATGATGTAATGATATGATTTTACACTACTTTGTGAATAACGTTGTAGGGCGATCTACAGATAAACTGTTTTCTTGTGATCCCTAGAGTAGATAAGGAAGCCTACTATTATTAGGTTAGATACCTTCGGAAATTTAGCAATAGGTTTTAAAGTTATCAAGTTGATAGCAAGCAACGCTGTGGTCGCAAGGATAAAGTTAATAAAACCATAAAACTGACTTCTTACTTCTACATTTAAAAATTAATAAGTTACATTTGATAATTCCAAACCAAACATTGTACTCTCACTTAGTGGGCCCAATATCAAAGACCTCCAGAAGTTGCTTCGAAGGAAAAGCCGAGGATGCCTGTAAAATACTTGATGGAAATGTGAATTTAAAGTTATTTAAAATGTGCGACTTCTGTACAAAGGACCTGTGCAACGGATCTTCCTCGTTGGCCCTCGCCCCCGTCGCCGGAGCTATCATCCTCTTCTTCGGAGTAGCTCGTCTGCTGGCCTAGAACTTTTCACGAAATTTGTAAAATTATTGTTCTGTAAAATGATCTTATATTTAATCAAATACCGAACAAATATACATAAAAATGGTTTTAGAATAAAGAATTTGTCAGGAAGCTAATGCAAAGCAAGATTTAATTTTTATTATTCGCCCAGCTCATGTAAGTCACTACAATAGGGGAGTGTAGGGTAAGGTGACGAACGATTCGATTTGTATACCCTTGCAACGCAATGAAGGAGACGTTTCCAACCCCATAAAGTATATATATTCTTGATCAGCATCACTAGACGAGTCCATCTAGCCATGTCCGTCTGTCTGTCTGTCCGCCTGTCTGTTTCTACCCAAACTAGTCTCTCAGTTTTTGAGCTATCGGGATGAAACTTTCCCAAAAGTCTTCTACCTATTGGAGGTAGTATATATGTCGGAACCGACCGGATCGGACAACTACTTATATCTTATAGCTCCCATAGGAAGGAAACGTTAAAAAAATTTAGCTTTGGTGTTTTTTCAAATATTACCTTCTACTCTTGGGAATATTATTATTTTTTATATATTTCTGAATCTCGAATAAAATCTTTAAAAAATCGGATCACTATATCATATAGCTGCCATAGGAACGGTCGAAAAATTAAATGGAAATTAATAGGAAAAAAATTACATCTATGTTGATTTTTATTACACTCTTTTCTACTCTGGGATATGACTATTTTTAAATATTTTCGAATTTCGATTTTAATTTTGAAAAGATCGAACTACTATATCATATATATAGCTGCCATAGAGACGATCGAAAAATTGAAGTGAAATAATACAAAATTTAACATTTTTGCGATTTGTAAATTAATAGAATGATCTGCAAGGGTATATAAGCTTCGGCTTGCCGAAGCTAGCTTCTTTTCTTGTTTAATGTAATTTATCCAAAAATCAATATTTTTCAAAAGTGTAAAAGCAAAAAGTTGCTTACATCCACTGAGCATATTTCTGTGAAAGTACGATTAGAAATTCCAACGCAGCTAAATCCTACAGCGTTTGGCGTAAACCTTCTTTTTTTGCACTTTTAAAAATTGTAGGGTAATGTGACGAACGATTTGTTTTTTAATGTAACTTTACCAAAAATCAATATTTTTTAAAAGTGTAAAAGCAGAAAGTTGCTTACATCTACTGAGCATATTTTTGTAAAAGTACGATTCGAAAATCCATCGGAGTTAGATCCCACAGCTTTTGGCGTGAGCCATCCTATCCAACTGACGGCACGACTAAAAGTTTTTTACACAAAATAAACAATAACAATTAAAATTTGTGAATAAAAAATATTTGTCACCATACAATATTTAAAATAATAATAAATAATAAAATAATACAATATATATATAAAAACCCTTTTTAAGTAAAATTTTTTATTCTTGTTTATTGTTCAGATTTAATTTTGGCAATTCTGCCATAAGTGCGCGAATACAATTTGCGGCCTTAGGGGATAAATTGCGCCTCACTTTTTTGCAAAAATTTTGGGAAGGAAAATAATTGACCAACAAATTTGATTTAAGAACAACTCAATACCCCTCAACCAAATCCTGGATTCGCCACTGCTGCAGCAGTTAATCATGCTTAACTCGGTTTTACACGATTTAAATGAAGTAACAACTAAAAAAGAAAAACAAGAGAGAACGCTATAGTCGGGTGCCCTGACTAACAGATACCCGTTACTCAGCTAAAGGAAGTGCGAGGGAGATGGAGATATAAAACTTTTAACGAATGGTCCGATTTGAAAAATTTCTCTCTACATTTCGATAGGTTTTGATAAACACAATAAAAGTGCATTTTTACTTTTCCGAAATCTTTAAAGGTGTTGACGCCAGATACCTTTTAAAATCGTTTAGGGTGATTGTGGGTGTTAGAGGGCTCGTGGCGCTCGTCTGAAATAAACTTGCGCTGCGTAGGAAGCTAAAGAGTATGTGTGGGTTATTTCAACTTTCTAGCTTTTGTAGTGTCCGAGATCTCAGAGTTCATACAGACAGACGGGCAGACAGACGGACAGAAGGACATGGCTAGAGACCCTGATCAAGAATATACATACTTTATGGGGTCGAAAACGCGAAAACGCAGTATCTAATTATCAAGACCGTATAGAGGAGATTATATTCAAAAACTACTCCTTTAGATTGATCTTAGAACCTTTACTGAAAATCTGATAAAATTAATTGATTAATTAGGCGAATTTTTAACACCTTCCTTATGCGCTTATTCCACGACGTTGTTCGGCTCATTTATTAATGAAATCATTAGAGGCTTAGAAAGGGACAAATATATATACATTCCCTAAGATTTGTTCGGATAAAATGACATGGTCACATAGAATTTAAACGTTAAATTTACACTTTATAATTCAAATAACTTTACCTACACACAAAAAAAAAACTTGGTAAAATCAACTGTAATAATTGTCAAACAGGCCCCAACCAGCAAAATTGTCAATTCTACTAAGTAAATAGTCATTTCACAACAACAAAATACACACAATTAGCAAAGACACAAACCCAAAGCAAAAACAAAATACACGTAACTATTTTAATAGTTACGTAACTATCTTTGTTGGTCAATTTTACCAAGCAAATTTTTTTGTGTGTAGTCAAATCATTAAGGTTAAAAACTTTTTTCCTTGTATTTTTTATGATTTTTTGAATGGGACGATCTCAGTAAAATTTTGTAAGAAAAGGTGGAAAAAGCGGCTAAAATTTTCATACAAAATACAAGGAAAAATGTTTTGAAATTTTTTTTTTGCAGGTTTTATTAATTTTGACTGGGGAAAAACTTTGCCGCAAAATATTTTTGTTTTAGGGTCCAGGAAAAAAGTTGAAAATTTGACCTTCACAATAAATTATCTAATTTTCTAACTGTTCAAAGGGTGCTTAATGGGTTAAAAACATTGTTGTGTCATTTAAACGGAATTGAAGTGATCTTTCTATAGGTGCCAAAATATTTTTGTTTTAAGGTCCAGGAAAAAAGTTGAAAATTTGACCTTCACAATAAATTATCTAATTTTCTAACTGTTCAAAGGGTGCTTAATGGGTTAAAAACATTGTTGTGTCATTTAAACGGAATTGAAGTGGTCTTTCTACACACAAAAAAAAAACTTGGTAAAATCAACTGTAATAATTGTCAAACAGGCCCCAACCAGCAAAATTGTCAATTCTACTAAGTAAATAGTCATTTCACAACAACAAAATACACACAATTAGCAAAGACACAAACCCAAAGCAAAAACAAAATACACGTAACTATTTTAATAGTTACGTAACTATCTTTGTTGGTCAATTTTACCAAGCAAATTTTTTTGTGTGTATAGGTGCCAAAATGTTTCTATTATAAGTTCAAAATATGAGATTTAACTTTAAAATTTTTCAAAATAATTATGCCGACTAGTGTATGTATGTTTTGGTCATCGTCGCGTAACTGTTAGGACGTCCGACTGTTGCGGGATCGAATCCTATGAGAGGTATGTGATTTTAACAAAAATCGTTATACATTTATCAGTAATGTAGTGTAAGATTATACAAAATAACTAATAAGACAATGATTTATACTATTGGTTTAAGAATATTTCATACTTCATTTGAGCATAACTTATACCTGATTTACAAGTAAATCGGATTAAATTTGTACAAATAATAATATTACTTCTCCATTTCAAAGCAATTTTCATTAAATTTTTAAAATTGTCAAACATTTTTTATAATTCATATATTGTCTAAGTAGAATTTCTAATTTATTTAATTCATTATGGGTTAAAGTACATTTCATACTTAATTTCGCCCGAAAATATTCTCAAATTAATAATACCGATTTAAGAATAAAAGGGTCTTGAAATTAAAATTTAAGCCCACTTCGTACGTGTCGCCCTTTCAAGACCATTTGTCCTTGAGACAAGCCCGACGTGCTTGGTATTTTTTTCTAAGTGTACTGTTGAATCATTAAGGTTTCCAATACACATTCGCGATTTGAAATCCTGCCGTCGCACACTTCCGGTACCATTCGTCACTACGTGGACTTTCGAACTATAATTTTATTTTCGTACTAAAATAAATAATTTCCAACTAAAAAATTTTACATTGAATTCTGGGAAGCAGAGAAGTCATACGCCCATTGATAGGAAATATGCCGTTTCATGGATGCTGAATTTAAGTATAAGCTCACATTTGCTCGTTAGGCGCTGTGCAAAGAAGGTCTACTTTTAAAAGTATTAAAAAAAATTTCCAAACGCGAAAATGGTGTCGAGTGTAAAACTGATCTTAGCTTTCAGCATCCTGGCCACTTTGGCCTGTACTGGTATGAAACATGATGAAATTACTCTTCAGAAATAATCTACGTATTATTATTATTATCGACTTGCAGGGAATACCATCAGGTGCTATGTATGCGATGATTTAGAATCTGAAAGCTGTGGACTTAGTGATAGCGATATTAAGAAATGCGACGACGATGCCACAGGATGCAAGAAGCAAGTTGTCCTTAGTAAGTACGCACGCAAAGTTTTTAAAGTTTATTTGTTGATACATTTATTAATTAATTAGTTATTTTACAATTTATTTAAATGCAAAATTACCTGAGCTTTAATGTTAAAGCAATGGTCAAATGATAATTAAGTTATTGAGCAAGTAATATTTCAAACCTAAAAATGCGTTTTCTTTAAAAAAAACTATTTTTAATTTTTACAATGCACTAGACACATTAAACCATAAAAAAATTAATTTCAAGAAATGTGTTCTTTTTTAAGCGTAAGACCGTAATTAATTGTTTTATTTCAGAGAGCAATCAAAGGGTGACGTATAGGGACTGCTACTTCAGGGACGTAACTCAAATGTCTCGTGGCTGCAGCAACAATTTTCAAAGGCTCTTCATCTATACGGAAGTTAGCTGTATGACCTGCACTAAGGACAAATGCAACGGATCCTCCTCCCTGGCTCCCATCGGTGCTATCTTCCTCTTTCTCGGAGTGGCAGGTCTGCTGTCCTGAATGTTCTAAAATGTCCTAAAAACCGTGGAGGCTAAGACATCCGAAGACCTTACCTGCCCAATCAGTCCAAAATGCAAACAACATTTTGCGAATCTTAAGAGAAATATAAAAATTCCTTATTAATTAAGTACATAAATAAAAACAACAATGTATTTCAAATACATATGCATAATCTTAAATATTTTAATTCCGACAAAATACTAAATGATCATGAGACACTCATAAATAACTGTACCATTAACAAATAAATAGAGAGTGAATTTTTTAGAAACTACTGATTCAAATGGTATGAATTAGGGCGGGTCGATTTCTATGAGTCAAAAAAAATATGATCCTAGTTTTCACCACTGCTACTGGTTGCAATTGGAATCGCTTTTAATAGCAACAATCGCATCTTATTGATTGCACATGCGAAATTATCCTCCCTTAGACTATTTTAGTTGATTAAATGACTGGGGCTACGGTTTTATAAATAGGTACTGTAGTGTGTCCGAATATTTTCCAATATATTCAACATTACAAATTAATAAATAAAATATATTAATACTGTGGAGTTATGTGTCTAACGTTTTCTAACAACACAGGAACACAAAATTAAACTTTCAAGTTTTCCATGATATGTGGGTGCTCCTGAGTAAAAGTCCCATACAAAATTATTTTCCATCACCTACAGGTTCCGCGGTATAGCTAAAAATACAAAAAAAAGATGTTTGCCGACATTTTGAATTACGTGGCTTATATAATTGGACTAACCTTTATTATTTTCGGTAGGACCTACTCTCAATACATCACGGCAATACTAAAAAACAGTCCCCATCGTGAACCATTGTCCATGGCTTTGGAATTCAAAATTTTTTGACGTTGATTTTCATAGGAAGTTTTTTGTTTGTGACTACTTTTTGTTGGGTTGAGTACTAGACCTTATCGCATATCGCGAGGTGACAGCTCAGAACGCTGTTAATTGCTGAAATTGGCAAAACAATAAGATTGAGTGAAATATTCGAATGTGCTTTAAACTGCGCACTAGAATTAAAAAGCCAACTGGTTTACGGACGATGACGATTCCAGGGGCCTGGGACCTACTTGACATTCCAGTGAGTTAGGCATAGCGAGGCATAAAAAGTGTATACTGCTCACATAATACTACAAAACCATAACAACAATTTTTCAGGAAATTTGGGAGAGCCGTGGTTGTCTTCATCAGAGTGCCAAAACAAAACAAAAATAAATACCCCACTAAAACGGCTGACATCACCCCAAACAAGTCGGCAAAAATTCTTGATATTTATGTATATATGCGCCTCGTTTGTGTGTCAAAAATGTTGGGAGAAAAAACATTGCGGCAGCTTCTATACAAATCCAAAAACACAGAATTCAAACACGCAACGTACAAAAAAATCCACTCACTTACGGTCACTACGAGTGGAAGCTTGATTTTGAGTGAGTGGAAAACTGAGAGAAACGCTGAGTGGAAAAATAGACAATGGACTGGACGCTGAAATATCGCTTACAATCGCTCGCCAGACACCGTGCAGTGAAGGTTTGCTTTAAGAAATAGTCAAAGAATAAGTGTTCAATCATGAAAATGGTGTCGAGTGTAAAACTGATCTTGGCTTTCACAGTCTTGGCCACTTTGGCTTGCAGGGGTAAGAAATCTCCCGGAATTTCTGTATTGAATTGATCTACAAACAATCGAGTTGCAGGGTATGCCATTAAGTGTTATCAGTGCGATTCCTTGACTAATTCCAAATGTGGAAAGGATTTAAAGTCGAATGATGATCTGATTTTGGATTGTACCAGGATCGCTCCTCCTCGATTTCTTCAAAACTTTTTCCCAGTTCACAATGCCACCGGTTGCATGAAGCAGACTATCGATGGTAAGTACGACGATTGGGGTTAATAATAATGATCTCATCTCCTTGATTGCCCACGCGAAACGATCCTAACCAATACAATTTAGGTTGATCAATTAACTGGGGCTACGGTTTTATGCTAAGGTTACAGTAGCGTTAACCGTACACCAGAGTTTTCAATTTTTTTTCAGAGTAATAACGCAAAATTATTTAACAACGACATAATTTGTGTCTATTAATTGAGTACAGCGAAATATATTCAGATATATATTATAGAAAAGATCTATAAGCCTTTATTGGATGCCTTCCAGCTAAATATGTACCACTGCATGTAGATTGTGAAAGAAACAACGCATGATACATATATAGTATAGTACGCATATGTCTATACAGACAGGGTACAGATAAGAGGAATCGGTTTGTTTTTCCCTTTCGAATCTATCAGTGAAATGCTCTTACAATAATCTGTACTCTCAATTTCCCCAGCCTTTCTTAAAAACAATACTTTAATGATAAAGTACAGCAACCCAAAGGAGATTACTTTCCGTCCCTCGGCAATATGTTCCCTTCATTAACAATGCATCACGGATAGTAGATATTTATACAGAACTACCTATTTGAGTTATTTGTTCAACGTTTTCAGTCAATTTGCTTGATTGTCTGGCATAAATGTTCCCTAGAGTTTATATAGCTTTCTGAATAATTACAGCCAGTGGTTTCCCGCATAATTCTGAGGAGTATTTATGCTCGGTGACCTCAGACAATTGTTTATTAATCGCATGAACAATCGTCTACGTCTCGATTCTTATTTTGCAAGCGAAGGGAGCGGCAGTTCTAATTGGCTGTCGGTTAATTGTCATTATAGTCAGCACACAAATTAGTTGCAGCCATATAAGGTGTTGCACTGCGCTCTAGATTTTAACCTTATAGTGGTGGTAAAGTGGTAAGAAAACAAATATGCCATAAGATTATGTATATATACTTAATTTTAAATTATTTAGGTGACTTAATCAACGGACAACTTTAAAACTCTTTAAGCAAATATATTTCAAAGTTCTAAGCACGTACAAAACTCAATGAGAGAGAGAGAACACGAAAATACGAATTTTGGAATAGTCACTTCTATATTTATTTCCGTACACATCAGTATGCACAACACAATCTAATGTAGTAATTTTAGATTTAAATTGGCAAATATTTGAGTAGGTTTTATGACAAAAAAAATAATAATGAACCGAAATGTTGAAATTTACAAAGCTGTAAGTGTTTGTAAAGGTACTGTTTAAAAGTTATTAAATGAGCATTAGACAAAAGTTTTAAAATATCTATAATTTCATTCATTACTATAATTTCAGTTCCTGGTAACCCCCAGATAGTAAGGAGCTGCTACTTTGGCGACATTAACGACAAGAAGACCGGATGTCAGACTGATACCTCCCTGACGACTAACAAGCTTCTGAGCTGCGAGGTTTGCACCAAGGACGAGTGCAACGGATCCTCCTCACTGGCCCCCATTGCCGGAGTCATTCTACTCTTCTTCGGCGTGGCTTGTCTGTTGGCCTAAATTTGTAGTTTTTATTACTAACACCGCTGGAGCATCCCAACCATATCGAACATGCTTATAAAAACACCTCAAAGGCTTTAGTCACTTTTAAATCTCTCTTAATTGTTATTCACCTTTTAAGCAATTTTTGTCCACAATAAAATTCACGTTATTTATTTGAAATTGACCTTATAGTTAATAGGAATTTTATTGGTATGGATTTAATTAAGTGCTCCTTTTTTATTTGATAATTAAGAGTGGGAAAAGGAGAAATCCATGCGTGCCTGGCCACACTTTAAACACTTTCCTCACCCACAAAAGTCTCTTCTGTTCTCTTTTTACTTACCTTTTGAAACTCTCTTGGCTGGCGATTATAGAACAGCCGGAAAGCTGAAAAGTTCTCTCTGTGATTTTCCTCGGGTCTTGACCATACACTCCCAGTTTTCCCCCACCACCTCCCACATGTGCGCTATAAATTCAGCGTCAAATCTCCACTCGGTTGATGAGTAAAACACCAAACGTTCATTAAAATTAGACAAATTAAAACGCTGAGCGATGACGCCAGGCGAAATGGCCATAAAGTGGTTCCCTCACAACAAAAAAAGAGAACGTGTAGCGAAAAAAGAGAAAAAGGCAAGGAGTTGAATTTGGAAAATGCTTTTGGCATTCTTTTAGTTCGATTTCGTGTGCGGACGTCGACTGTCAGACGCTCCAAGTATTTAGCCGGGAAATCGGGGAAAATCAAAAAAACTCAGGGAAAATTGGCAACGCGTGTTTACATTTTTAATTTCCTTGCGTACTAAGACCTAAATAAATATGTAAAAGTCATTTATAGGAAAAGAAAATATACATTGCTTTATACTGAATTTATATATATTATAGTCAGCGGATATACATATGTTTTATATTTAAATCTCGTGTGGATCGTTTCAATTGCGTTGAGCGTTGAGTTATAAATAAGCCTGCTACTTGAATTATTTTCCATAAAACCATCAAATAAAACAAATCCCAAACAGAAACGAAGAAAGGTAGCAAACCGATTTTCTTCTCGTCAACAATGCGGCAATACTTACTTTTGTTTGGCGCGCTGCTCTCGCTGCTGGCCTCAGGTTTGTTATTCTTCTGTTTGCATTTGGATTTGTTTTTCGATTTTGTGCTTTGTATTTTGAGTTTTTTGTTTGCCGACGATTCGGCTGTCCCCCATCTGATCTCATTTCTGGCATAAATAAGACGCATCCCTGGTCTTTTCATCTCCCCAATGCCATTAGCTTACGCCATCAAGTGTTACGCCTGCGAATCCGTCTACGAGGCGAGTTGTGGCGAGGATTTCGAAGTGGAGAACCATTTCAAATACGACTGTGCCTTCATTGCCCCGCCGCGCTTTTTGGAGAGCGATCTGCTCAATTTGAATGCCACGGCCTGTCTGAAACGGGTGTTCAAGGGTGAGTTTAATTGAGAATATCTTCCCAAACTTCTAAAAAATAATTAGCATATAAATATGTAGTAAGAGTAAATAGAAAGTATGGACAACTTTTATACTTAAACTTGGTTAAGGAAATCATATAAAGTGTTATTAATAGACATCGGATTTTAGGTGAAATCGTTTTTTTTTAATATGATTTAAAGCCACACTTTATTGGTTAAAAATTTCTTACGACAACTTCAATGAAGTTTGGCCTAAGTCTCATTATACCTTAATAAATAAAATTTGTAACTATTCAAATTGGCTTTAAATCGTATTTAAAAAAAATGATTTCACCTAAAAGCCGATGTCTAGTAATTAATAAACAAGACGTCAACATTTTAAAATATTTCAAAATTCCTGCTATTTGAAGGCATTGGAATTTTTAAAATAAATAAAAGAACACTATTTTAGTTGTTGAAGTGATTTATGACTTTTTCATTGCACCTAAAGTAAGGAGAAATTTAGGAGCAAAAAAAGAAAAAATTATAGGATGCTTTAAATTCAAATAATATTAAAATATTAATACAAGTAAGATTCAGTGGGATACGATAATAAAAACATCAAGATCAATAACCACAAAAAATAACAAATAGGACTCGTTTAAACAAAACACGTCTCCATAGTTTTCCAAATGATATGTGACGTAAATCAAAACAAATAAAATTAATAATTACCCAAAGAAATGACACATTATATTTCTGCATAAATGTATATGTAACAGCTGTGACCTTATTTCAGACATTTTCGTAGACTTCCCAACAATCTTTTGATATTTCCGACAATACATATTAAGCCAATTAAAGCTTGAACAAATAAAATATGTCTGCTTGGAATCAGCCTAAAAGTAGACTAACTCAATGTTTTGTTTTCTCAGAAAATGGCGTACGTAAGATCGTTAGAGGCTGCTATTTTGGCGATGTAAATGCAACCGATGTGGGGTGCAAGATGGACCCCACTCTGGCGGCAGTGCACAATGCGAGTTGTCATGTGTGCGATGATGAGAACTACTGCAATGGAGCGGAAAGTCCACTGGATAAATGGAAAATCGTTGCCAGTCTGGTCTTGTTTCTTTTGGCACCTCAACTGCTTTGAAATGACGCGAAACGTATCGAAAATTTGGGGTAATTTGGGCTAGAAATGCACAATAAAAGGCACAATAACTTAAGTAAACCTAGTTCAATTTAGATGTTTTCCCAAGGCCCAGAACTATCATTTACCAAAGCCCACATTCTTAGCACCCACATCTTAGCCCACATCTGCCCCACTGTATTAATGGTCAATCAACGGCAAACAGGGCGTATGAGCAACATCAGCAGATATTAGCCGAAAAGCTGGCAAACAAATTTCGAACGATCCAAATACAAACTAATAAAAAAATCTTTTACACAGAATGCCAAATTGTTTATTTGTTCAAATGCCACTAATGAACTTTTGCCTGAAATAAATGGATCGTCGAGGCAAGGGAAGGGAAGGGCAGGGCAGGGCAGGGCACAATGTCAACACGCGTTGTTGGCCAGGAAAATCCCAACGAAGGAGAAGTGAAAATCTGTTATGAAAATCAAATTCACATTCTGAATGCGATTGTTCGCTCATTCAGTTCAGTTCTGTTCAGTCGCGTGTGTGCAACGCTTCGAGTCGGTGGTCGGCGGTTCGCGACTATATAGCGGGTCTATCATGTGATTAAAATCGGTCCGGCAGCTGAGAAGACAACATCTGTATTCGCGCACGTATCGGCATCGCTATAGCTATAGCTATTGACTCACCGCGACCGCCGGACAGTGGGATCAACTGTTTTCGGGGGCGGTGCGATGGCGATGATTGCCTCGCTCTTTCTGCTCGTCACGCTGGCCAGCTCAGGTGAGCCTCCCGCCCGCAAATCATCACATTCCTGCACCGAAAATATAGTTCATATTTTTTTATGTTCCAAAAATGATTTTACATCAAAAGACATAGATCTATAAACCTGAGTTTCGTTTTCCAATTTAAAAAAAAAAAAACATTTAACTTAAATTTAACTAAAACTCCATCATCCAAGACATCTTACATTTCTTTGGTTATTTTTCCATTGGAAACCCTTAATGTAAAATCCAAAAATATTTTTAATCAATGGTGTTCAACATGAATTTTATTAAAAGTCATTTATTTGTAATAATTAGGCTTTTTTTTAGAACCAATTAAAATAACTAAAAATACGGAATGTCGGAAGTAAATATAATTTATAAATGACGCTCAGAGAAAAAATTAATTAAAAAAAAAGACCATTAAATTACAAGTTAATATTTGTTTACTAAATGTATACAAAGATGCACACATTTTGAACACAGTTTCGATCCATTGTTTTCTTTTCTGTGCGCCCGCGTTGACACACATATTTACGCATGTCGTCATCAGCTCGGGCCATTACCTGCTACGAATGTGATTCCGTCAATAATCCAGGGTGTGGGGAACAATTTGTTGGCGATGACATATCCACGACGGACTGCGATGTGGTGGCGAACATGCGAGCCTTAGGAGCGGAGGCCACCTGCCTCACCAAGTACCATGAAGGAAGTAAGTATCCGAGTTCTGGAAAATAGGTTAAGAAAAACCCCAACCAATCACTCACTTTTTGGCAGCGCCTGGAGACACGCGCTTCGTGAGGCGCTCCTGCTATTTTGGCGACTCCTCGCCGATAAGCATTAATTGCGATGATGGACCGGATCCTGTCGTGCCATTTATGAATTTCCTGGGCTGCACACTCTGCAACACGGATCTGTGCAACGCAGCCCCCGGAGCAATCACTCTATCATTTGCAACTGTCTTCATGGTACTTGGTCATTTTATCCTATTTACCAACTAAGGAAGATGAGATTCGCATGGAAAGGCGAATATTTTTCAATGTATCTTATTACCCAGCATATACTCCAGTATTGTATAAAAGATTGATGTATCCTTATGCCCAACTAACCATATGAATTATTAGCAGTCAAGCTTATTTAACAAAAACCATCAACGTTTCTTAAAGGGATAGGAACTAGAGCTCGAAGGTTTTCGTTGCGCAAAGCCGACTGCGAATCTAACTTTTTACCACCAAGCCCACAGATGAATCTAAAATGTGTTTTTTTTTCATTTTCGTTTTATTTGATTTTGTTTCCTTTGTTTTTATACATCCACTAAAATGATTTAACATACATATATCTTTATATAATATAATTATTCTTGTTTGATTTAATATAATTTATTGAATAAAATTTACTCGTCTCCTGCATTATCTGCGTGTGTATGCAAGTATGTGTATGTATTGTAATTAGGAATTATAAATTACAAAATATGCATAATATAAATAAAGATAACATCTCAAAATCGATACACACACATCGCTGTTTCAATTTTTAATCAATACATTTGTTGATCGTCAAACACATCTAGATTTACATATATTTCCAGTTTATTGTATAAATTATTGTATGTGGGTATATAGATAACACCTTGGTTTATCATCTTTCTGGGTTTTAGCTGCGGATTATATTCATGTAACTTTCTGGGCTACACATAAATAACATTGAAATATAAATATATGGATATTTATCAAGATATTGTTTAAAAACTACACATTGAGAACAATTCAGATAGAAAACAATTTATGTACAAAAGAATTTGTTTGTTTTGCTTTACCAAATACTGTCCATATTGGCAATGTCCCGAGAAATCTCAGAGAATCCAGCGAGGACAGCTGCCAAGCGCGTCCCGACTTAAGCACTATCAACAATTGATATTATCAGCGTATAAAAATTAGTCAACCAAATATAGTAAAACTTATTGTTTCATTATGATTCACACTCAGAAACAAATAACAAACAGATTTGATTTTCTCATATTTTAGCTTGTATGGATCAACTTGTTCAACTATTTATAGTTGGCTATATAATGTAAGGTTCGGTTATATAATGCTGCGTACACATAAACATTGAATCATAGTAACAACAACACAGAGAGTTTGTTTAAAACCTAAAAACTATTCATATTTAGTTTGCTTTCCACTGCTGCTTTTTATCCAGTCCACAGATTGCAGGTGACCTGGTTTTTGATGGATGGGGTTAAATCGTAGTTTGGGTGCGGGATTTCGGGTAGGGATATGTGGAGTACCAGCTCCGCAATGCTATGGTTGTGGAGTGTTACCTGTCATACTCTGCAATCTGTGGTCACTACGGTCCCTACTCCTCAATTTTCGTTGTGTTTTCTTCATTTAATTTTAACAATTCGCTTGAGTAGTGCAACGATCAATAAGCCAACGGAATCTGCGGTTACTCAAAGGCAAGAAGGTAATAAGGTCGAGTGAAATCGGAGGAAACACACCATGTTCTTTTTGTTAAACATAAAAATTGACTAGAAAAATGTGCAAAAATTTTGTGTACGTGCAGTTTTTGGGTAGAGGTGAGCAAAGAATTTCGTTGGTATTGAAAATGGAATGGAATCTTAAAATAATTATTGATGGTTCTCCGTTTTTGTTTATGCCTACTTATGTAGCCTTCAACTTGTAATACATTTCTTTGTTTTCCGTTTTCGTTTTTCGTTTTGAGATCAATTGCACATGGGTGAGAGCGCTCCAGTGCCTGCTCTTTCTTTTCACTCGTTTTGCACTTTGAACTGACTACAAATTCCGCTGCCTAAGGGCATTAGCTTTATATTTATCAATTGGGGTCTTTATATAAACTATGGTATATATCTGTAGTATCTGAGCATATCATTGGCGGCAGCAGCAGCACTAATCGAAAGAGGTTTGGTTTTGCTTTATCTATATATTTTGCGACCAAATGGGGGACAACTTTCAGAAACATTCAGTTGTTTTCAATGCAATTTACAAGTTACACTTTCTATACACATAGCAATAATAATATTAATAACATTAATAACGAATTCAGTCAAGTCAGTAAATTTGGTTTACAGAAAGAAAAAATACATAATTTATAAACTAATGAAATAATAACGCTACTAAACAATAATGAAGTTGCAGCCCAAGTTTTCTGGTGTTGTTTTCTGCTTTCAATTGTTAAGGAATATTTTTTCTTTGCTGCGGTACATGGTTATAGAAATACATTTTACATTTAGATATACACTTTATAATAATTCTTTATGTATATGCTTGTATAGATATATCATGTATATATGTATAGGGGTTATAACAACTAGGGTATTGTAATTTCAAAGCTTTGCGTTTTGAAACATGAACTCACAGAGTATTTCCATTATATAATATATAATTTGTTTTAGTGTTGCATTTTTCATTAACATTTAACATTAACACGACGACGGCGGCATTTGCTGCTGCTTGGCCACTTTCGATACATATTTATAAATAGGTTTTTATAAATGTTTACACATTTTCTCATCTTGGTATTATCAGCGTCCGCCAATAATGGGCGGAAACGAAAGCAATCAGAAGGTGTTTGAGTGGGTGTAGGAAACGCGGGGGGAAGGTCGAGCAGGTTTGCTGAGCACTTGATCATCGGCGGGCAATATCGGTCAGACTTAGGAGATGTCTTCTTAGATGCCCACAAAGCCGTAGACCTCCAGCACCCGGATCTCGAAGTCGCCCGATGGACAAAGCGGCGGATTGTTGAAGGTCTTGCAGCTGTCCGTCTTGCCGAAACGTATGTTCTCGTCCATCCAGATGGCCTGACCCTCGCTGTCGGAGAAATGAGTAAGCGACTAATTAGTAAATTGGCGGATAGTAAGTCCCAGCACCACAACGTACCCGCCACCAATGGTAATCATCTTGGAGTCGGCCGCCATAAACAGCTCGGAACTGTGTCCCAGATCCTTGTCGCCCTCAATGCCCACCCACGGGTACTTGGCTCGCTCTGGATACAGGGAGAACAAAAAGGTTTCGCCGGTGCCGAAGTAGGCCTGTCGCTGGCCCTTGTCATCCTTCACATTCCTTTCAAACCAGCGCGAGGAACAGTAAGCCCCGAATACCTATAGGCAAGGATAATTAGTTATTTAAATGTTATAGTAAAATAAACAAAAAACACGAACTCACCTCATTATTGCACGTCTTGATCATGAGCAGCGTGGGCTCGTGCTGCTCCACCCGGACGTAGAACGTGGTCAGCGAGCAGCCGTGCTCCTCGGTGGTGTAGAGCAGCACCGGTTGGTACATTGTTATCCGCACGGGCAGCCAGGACCACAGCGTGAACAGCTATGGGAAGACGAATGGAACTTTTGTTAGCAACTCGACTCTGAACCGATCGGAGGCTTTAACTCGGCTACAACTACGAGTAACGTATTGAAAGGGGTAGCAATTAGCCAATGACAGAACAAAATACGTTGGCGTGGGTAAAGTAGAGTGAAAGAACATGAACTTAAAGGCCAAAAAATCAACGAAAAACAACTAAAAGCCGGGGTTAAGTAACATATACGAGGCAACAACTCTCGAAGAGGGCTAGAAACTACAAAAATAAACTACGGCGCAGTTCATGTCAAACTGTAAGCAGCGGCGGCGGCGCGGCAGCAGCGCATCTCAAACTGTAAGCTGATTTGTGTTTTTTGCTTTTTGTGACTCTTCCAATTTTCAGATGAACTGCCGAATTCTAACATTTAATGACTGCGGGACAATGACACTATTACAAAAACATTTTCTAAGACGGCACGGAATGGAAAACTTTTTTCTTTAACTTCGGATGGGAGTTTCAAAGGAATGCATTCAATTTTAATGAAATTACGAAATGGATGGTAATGGCAATGGAATGGGGAAAACAGGTTGGAGGGTTTTCAATATGCAATGCAATGCTTACAAATTGTCTATCCGTCCAGGTTTTTATGAAATTCTTTGTGCCCGGCAAACCAAAATGCTATGAAAAGATATAGATGGATATATAGCAAAAAATTATATGCAATATGGCGGATGAGGTCTGGGGGTCATATGAATTCGACTTATGGCTACACCGTTCCGTAGATACGGTTGTGCTAACTGGCTGTCCTATACGCTTCGTTCTAAAATATATATTTTTTGGAATTCGGTCTCTGAGTCGGTTACCATCAGGACCCCTGTTAATTGGTTAACTTAATTGTAATGAAAATAATTGAATTTAAAATCAAAAATTTGCCAACACTACTTTTAAACCGATTTTAACTTAAAAAACACAATGTTTTCGATAAATTCTGGCAACAAAAAGGGAAATTGAAACAAAAAATAAAAACTTAATCATTCAACTAATTTCTATTCGACTGAAAACGAATTCTGGCACTTCATGCAGTATTTGTGGCTTAAATGGTATGTGAATTAAAAACGTGAGCCAAAAGCTTCCATAGATATTGGAGGTATATATATATTTGTAGTACGATTAAAAATGTGTGGTGTGGGTATCTCTTTTGGGATTGTTGATTGGCTTTCGTATTGGAGTGGAGTGGACTTTGACTTTCACTTACATCTTCGTTCTTACAAGCTTGACTTTTCAGATTGTGTATGGGATAAACGCCCATCGCGATGGCTCTATGACCGGGCGACTTTTCGCCCTATGGTTTATACATATTCATGATGGATGAAATATTTAACAGTATGCACCCAAATGCGGCAAATGAACCCGTGGAAATGTATTTCATCGATATCGAAAATATGTATACATTGATCAAGCGTACGCAAATTTATATTGTTTTTTGCAATTATTATTTTTGTAGTATCGTTAATATTCATTCATTCGTTGCCAAGGCAGCAAAAAAAGTACAAGAAAAATAGAAATAACGTTTTATATATAGATTTCATATAAGGAGCAATTTCACTTGAGGATTTTTGTTTGTTTATGTATTTCTGTATGTGAGTATTGGCTTTGCAATATATTTTGTATTACAACAAAAAGCAACGGAAAACGAATAAAAAGCTGTACTGTGTGGTTATTATAGATGTGGTTATTTTCGAGGCTGTGCTTTTGCTTTGAATTGATAAGTAACGGAACAAAAATGGCAAGAAGTTAGTTCATTCGGCGAAATAATAAATGACAGAGATCAGGAACACAACATAAAAGTCAAGTGGAAGCAGAACGAACACAAAAATCGAGTCGAATCAGTTCTGGGAAGAGAGATTGAGAATTTACTGGACTTAAACTTTAAAATCTCGATCCAGTTAATTCCGAAAACGTACATTTTGTATATACATACACATAATTGCCTTAAATTAAAAATAATCATTTCCCTAATATCATGCTTCTGAAACTCGACTCGTGAAACTTAATAAAATGGAAACAAGATTCAACTCATTCAAAGACAGTGTGGAAAGAAAACCAACAGAACAAGCAGAATCAATCGAACATCGGCATTATCAGTATTGTTTTTAATAATAATTTTGTATAGCTTTTTCCAGCCTCATACCAAATTGCGAC